AATATTCCCCTCGCCAGTAATCTAGATGCCTACAAACATCGCTGGTTACGAATGCGCCGGACTCCCCAGTGGTGGTATCCTATGACAGTGGTGCTGCCCGTACAATCCTGCTTCAGTAACAAATTATAACATTAAGCTTACATGTAGGAAAAGCTCTTAATGATAGTAGCACTGGACTTATGTTGCTATCAGAAGAATTTGATCAGCTGCGTACAGTCGTGGTGCAGATTCGAATGGCATTAGATATGCTCATCGCAGCCCAAGGAGGGCTTTGCGCCTTACTGCATACTGAATGTTGTGTAAATATCCCTGACAGTTCTCACAATATTACTCTCCTTGCCCAAGACATGCAAAAACAAGTACAAGTTGAAATCTAACCATCAGGGCCCCATCATGGACTGGCTATCCAGCTCGCATTGGTGTTGGCCATGGTGGGTGTGGTTTTTATTAATTGTGCCTTTAATTCTCCTGTGTGACCCTGTATCTGTAATCTATATCAACTGTGCCTTCCCCATGTGTCTGTAAGGGTATTTTCCTATAATTGAGTATCGGATTGAGGCCGAATGTGGAGGAAAAGTTAAATATTAAATTTGAACTCAGTTGAACGTGGACACAAACAATGGTCACCAAGTCCCGAAACAGGTTGTGTGAGCCTCTTTGAGGCTTTCATCCAGCGCTGCTTTGGAGAAATCTCCATTTCAATCTATTCCTATACGTTAGTTATTGAAACACAATAGACAATTGCAACAACAAGTTGACCTTTTGGTGTTCCTTGAGCCCAGTTGAGAAGGGATCTCGTGACTGGGCCTCATGCCAATCAACTTGTTGCAGAAAAAGCTAGGCTCCCACACCATGCTGAAGCTTCATGAGCCCTCTCCTGGTCTGTGCACAGAGTGGCCGACTCTGGAGCCCCAGCTGTTGCTTTCCAGCCTGGCGGTGAATCCTCCAGAGTCTGGTGAGTGTAAATATATATTCCCTTCTCCCCTTCCCATTGCAATTTGCTTATTATCTCAATCTGTTTGTTATATCATTTGCTTATTATATAATTTTTTTATATCAATGTGCTTATAATATTGATTATATCATTTGCTTATTATATCTGCATTGCCATTTACATGGGATAAAGCTTGTTTACCCTTAAAGGTATCAGGTATCGTGTGTATATGTCTTTTCTTCTCCCCCTTGAGCGTTTCCTGCACAGAACAACCCCCAAGCCAAATTTCCTTTTTCTATAAAGTTCTCCCTTACAGCCCTGCCACCCCCCCCAACAAAGTGTGCCTCTTGTACTACATTGATAATACTTGTTGATATATAGCAACAATTTTGCAGTTGTCTTTTTTTCTTTTTGAGATGGTCTCTCAGGGACAATTCTCCAAAGAGTGCAGTGGTGTGATCTCGGCTCACTGTAACCTCCACTTCCTGGGCTCAAGCCATCCTCCCACTGCAGCCTCCCAAGCAGATGGGACTACAGGTTCGTGCCACCGTGCCCAGCTAATTGTTTTTGTATTTCTGGTAAAGATGGGGTTTCACCATGTTGGCCAGGCTGGGAGGGAGTGATTCGCCTCCCAACGTATGAGCCACTGCATCCAGCCTGTATTTGCCCCAATTTGTTTACATGTTTGCTTCTGCTACTAGACTGGACTCTTTGACGATAGGAGTTGTGTTTTATATCACTACCATTGCCAAGCACATATTACGTGCTTGATATCTGATGAATAAATGAATGAAGAAGCAAAGGAGCAACAAGGAGAGGAAGGAACAATTCACAGTTGCTTCTTAAACTAATACTATTCCAAAGAAAGGGATAACAAGATTGGTGTTAGAGAAAGCCCCACTCTGGAGCTGACGATGGATAGGAGGGGAATCTCAGGTGGAAAAATATATTAAAAGTACTCTCTTAAGCACACGGATAAAAAAATCACATGATGGCGGGCATAGTGGCTCACTCCTATAATCCCAGCATGTTGAGAGGCCGAGACGGGAGGATCGCTTAAGGCCAGGAGTTGGAGACTATCCTAGGCAACATAGTGAGAACCCCCCCTCTAAAAAAATTTTAAATATATATATGTATATATGTGTAAGAATTAGATGAACCAGTCCTCAGGGAAGCCAACCTCCATGTGGGGGCTGACTGAGGTTAAAGAGGAGAGGGAAGTCTGCCACCATAATATGGTCACAGTCCCAGCCCTAGAAACAGTGTACTCCGTAAAGGCTGATCAAGTTACAGCCTGTATGAAGCATGCTGAGGGTCACAATGGACCCTTTCCTGTCACAAAACAACTTAGCAGGTTAACACAGAGTGATGTTTGTGCCAAATAGGTCACACAGGCACAGTTCTCAAGGTTAGGCAACAGAGGCAGAGATTTGGTCTCTAGAAGGCCATTGCTTAAGTGCACGTGTTTCCTCAGGATACTAGAAGAATTCTGGGTGTCTCAAGAGGAGCCTAGATGATACCTGCTTAAAGAAATCAAATAGACCAGGCGTGGTGGCTCACACCTGTAATCCAAGCACTTTGGAGGCCAAGGCAGGCGGATCACCTGAGGTCCGGCGTTCAAGACCAGCCTGACCAATATGGGGAAACCCTGTCTTTAAAAAAAAAAAAAAAAAAAAAGAAATCAAATAGATTTGATCTCTAACATTAGAACCTTAAATTCTTCAGCTAATTACCACCTTAGAGGGCTCAAAGAGCTTATTTCAAAAGGGATAAGGCAGGCCAGAGGCAGTTGCTCACTCCTGTAATCCTAGAACTTTGGGAGGCCAAGGCAGTCAGATCACGTGAGGTCAGGAGTTCCAGATCAGCCTGGTCAACATGGTGAAACCCTGTCTCTGCTAAAAATCCAAAAATTAGCTGGACATGTTGGTGCACACCTGTAGTCCCAGCTACTCAGGAGGCTGAGGCAGGAGAATCACTTGAACCCGGGAGGCAGAGGGTGCAGTGAGCTGAGATCGCGCCACTGCACTCCAGCCTGGCAGCAGAGAGAGACTCCATCTCAAAAAAAAAGTGGGTAGGCGTGGGGGAATGAGGCATGAGACAGTAGCCCATGGAAGAAACACACCTTCAGGGTCTGGGAGATGGGTGAGAGAGAAGGAACACCACCTGGTGCTCCAATGTACTTGCTCCCTTAATCCTCACAAGGCATGACAAGGTAGATTATTTTATGACAAAATAGTTTTATAATAATAGTTACCATTTACTGAGCATTTACTAAATGCTCACTTTTCTTGGATTATCTCACTTTGTCTTCATGACCCTAATAGATTTAAAGATGAGAAAGCCAAGACTTAGAGAAGTGAAGTCTGTCCTAGGTCAAATGGACTTTTTCAGTCGTATAGCCTAGATTTAAACCCAAATCTGCCTTCATTGTTAACCACTGTAATACACAGGCTTTTATTACTATCTGAGCCCCAAGGAAGTTATGACTTGCTGAGGGCCATATAGCTAATAAATGGCAGGTGGGATTTCAATCTAGGCCTCTGTGCTTCCCAGACCTTTACACTCTCTGGTCACTTAAGTAGCTGAAATTGCAAGAGACTAGAACACATCTCCCGTGGGAGAGGCACAAAAACATTTAAAATACTTCATAACTTTGTCTTCCAGGGACTCTATAAAGTTCCAGGCAAAACAAGTATCGACCTCTCACCATTCCTGAGCAGTCTATATCCCAGGGAACACAAATAGAGTCAAAAGTCATTTGACACTGAATCTTATTTGTTCCAACCATCTGATATACTGTCCACCCTGCTGGGAAACAGAGACAATGCCCATGAGGGTGGGCCTCTGCAGAAGGACAGGACAAGCCAAAATAAACACTGCGGTCAGGCCTCAGAGCAGCCTGGGAGGACAGGTTCTGTGGCTGCTAGTCAACCACCCAATCAAGTCTTCTCTCTTCTCAGCTCTACCTGAGGGCTGATCCTTCGAAAGGCTCTCAGAGCTGCGCTCTTGAGACCAATGACTGACTTCGATATCTCAAGTCCTGATTACAAAGAAATAAATTACCCAGTTGTCTATGAGAACCCAGCTGCCTTTACTGGCCATGACCCAAATGTGGAGTGGGTTGGGGAGGGGTCAGAGATAGAAATTAACTTGGGGATTTCCGGTAAATATCAAGCAAGGGCTGGAAAACTGATTCCACCAGAGAAACCCTGCAAAATATGATTGGAGCTCTGGGGTTGCCCAGAAACATTTTCCTAGGAGTTATATGTGCTATATGACCAGTGCTGAGCAAGTAAGGGCTTCCTCCCCAGAGCCCCATCCCACCCACGCAGGCTTCTTAATGCAGACCCCACATGTTTAGATTCCGTGGGGCTGCTGCTTCTCAAAGCTGGTAAAGTGAAAGCATTTCCCACCCTAAAGCAGCAATACTCTCTCTTCTGCTTTTTTTTTTTTAATTGTACTTTAGGTTCTGGGGTACATGTGCAGATCATGCACGATTGTTGCATAGGTACATACATGGCAAGGTGGTTTGCTGCCTTCCTCCCCCCATCACCTATACCTGGTATTTCTCCCCAGTCATCCCTCCCCCCCCACCCACTGCCCCTCCCCTAGTCCCTCTCCCTGTGTCCACGTGTTCTAATTGTTCAACACCTGCCTATGAGTCTGTCTGCTTTCTAAGCAGGCCCCAAGGAGGACTCACAAGTAAGACTTGAGAGAAATAGAGAAAATACTGCCTAGGTACCTGGTCCTCTCTGCTATTCCAGCTCCAGCCACCTGAGGGCTCCTGGCTTCAGAAAATCAGGCACCAGGCTCTGGCTTTGCTCCCAGAAAAGGCTTGGAGTCAGAAAGCCTATGCCCAGCGAGCCTGGGGCAGCTCTGTTTCCCCAACACCTGAGGGCGGGCAAGGGCACCGCAGCTCTCAGGTTTCAGGGGGGATGGCAGTTGCCCGTCTAAAGGCTTCTCTGTTCCTTGGAATTGTACAGAATGTCTCTTGTGGCTTTTCCTCCTCCCTCCTTTTTTCCTGTTGACTCCCCATCTGGCTCTATGAATCACCAGAGTCCACAGGAAAGCAGCAGATGTTGACTTTACTCCTGTCAAGCCAACGTCAGCTCCCTCCTGTGGAGCAGGGAACAGGCAGGAAGGTGAGGGTGGAAGAATCGAGGAAGATAACCCTCATCCTTTCCAAACTGTGAAGGAAGATAAAGAGGGAATCTGAAAGGAGTCAGGGACCTAGGCAGAAAAATTATTGATTCCTGGGGATGGGGATAAAAGGACCCCAAACAAAGGCCCCAGTGTTGGCTATGGAACCAGGATCATTAGGAGGAGGGAAGCAGAGGGTGGGAGCATGGCTGGTTTTGGTGCCAGCTCTTCTTGTCTGAGGTAAGGCTTCATCACTAGCCAGCAGCATCCCTACGACTCAAAAGTCAACTCAGGCTGCTGGTCTGGGGACACAGTCCAGAGGCGGCTTCTTGTCCCATCTGAGCCCCCAAACCTCTGCTTTTATGCAAGTCTCTTGAAGAAGCTGCCAGGGAGGACTTTCTAGAGCCTTATTCTACATTCATTGCTCTGACTTCTCTTCTCTTTTTTCTTCCTCGGGGATTTTCTTACGGGCAAAGAAGCCAAGCTGTAGAGGAAAAGATAAGTGTCATCACCAAATGCCTAGACTGGGAACCTTGCCAATAGCTCTCAGACTTATCTGAGGTCTTCACTTTTGTTCTGCTTCCAAAAATGGAATTCAAATTTATTTTATTTGGCTTAGGTTAATTTAACCAACATTTGTGGGGTCCAGTGAAGGAGATCTGGGCATGACATCCACAGTCTGCTTAGCGGCCCAGCACAAATTCTGTTCTCTCTGCTATAATCAAGGATCTCTCAACACATGGGTACCATGCTCCCCACTCCCCACTAAAGCAGTGCTTACCTTCCACAGGCAGAAAACGAGGAGAGCAAGCAGGAGCAACCCTCCCAGGATGCTGCCTATGAGGATCCACAGGGAGATGAGGAGGGGCTGGGTCTGAACCACCTCCAGGAGGCTCTGTAAGGGGAGAGGAGTTGTTTTCTACATGCACCCAGTAACCCAGCTAGTCTCACCCCACATTATAGTAAAGCCAGCCCCCAAATAGAATAAATGACCTCCTTCTACTTAAAGGAAAGAAACTGAGGCAGGCATGGAGGCAGTGGAACACTAGGATCCTAATTTATCACTTCTAACTCAACAACTGCTGCCTGATGGAGACACTTTCCTTCTAGAAAAGCCCACGGGTGCCCCTCCCCCATACCCATCATCATTATTTTCACAGCACTCAAACTCGGTCTCTAGCCCCACCTCACTCCAGCGGGAAGCTTCAGTCAGCTGTAGGACACTGCCCTGCTCAGTTCCCAGCTGGAAGGTACTGACCACCGTCAGGGACTTGAACTTGGCCTGCGGAACAAGCGAATGGAAGACATTTAAAGTGAGCCATCATCAGGTGATGTCGTTCTTTGGAATCCCAAGAGCAAAGTTGAGGCCAAAAAGGCACAATTCCCAAGGTTCTCATGACCAGGAGAAAAGGTTGGAGACCAATGGGAAGAGAAGAAGGGTAACAGATGGAAAACCCCCGGTAACATCTGCCACTGTTGTTTGTTCTCTGAGGACATCCAACACCTCTGCTGCTTACTTCACCTGAAATGCATTCTTCTCTTCTTTCCTTTGGCTGGTCTCTACCCTTCCCTTAGATTGAAGTTTAGATGTCCTCCCCTCTGGGATTTAGGGAAATCATTTCTCCTAACCCCCACCAATCCTGGTGTTTACTTGTCTTTCACCCCTGAACTCTAAGATCTTCCAGGTTAAAGGCAGGCTGTGCCTTACTAACCTTTGTGTCCTCTGTCCCTAGTAGATGGCACAGTGCCAAGTGTGCAGTGGTTTCTTAATGAATCTTTGTTGAAAGCATGACTAGATTAATGAAAAAAAGATACCAAAGAAGGACAAACAGACTTGGAGAAGGGTGGTTTATCGGACTTGACTTCCCTAAAACGCATGACGACATCCCAGGGGTCTTGTGTTATTCAAGGTAGATATGGGAAAGCACAACACCAACCCTCATGCCAAGCAGCTGTCATAAGTAAGATACTGTTTCCCTGCTCAGGAACTCGCAGTGACTCCTCACTGCCTGTCACCTTGAGCTCAGTCTCTCCCAGGCTTCAGAGGCCTTTCATCATCTAGATCCCTCTCACCTGCACGATCTCACTTCCCACCACTTCCCAATACAAACCCTGCATGTTCTATCAATTATACATTCATCTAGCAAAAGTATATTAAGCACCTACAATGAGTTAGGCATGGGGCTAAATGTTGGGGATATTCTCCTCAGTGTCAACCTAATACAGGACCTTTGACATAATAGGCACTTGATTGATGATGATGATGATGATGATGATTTTTTTTTTTTTAATAAAGACAGGGTTTCACCATGTTGGTCAGGCTGGTCTTAAACTCCCGACCTCAGGTGATTCGCCCACCTTGGCCTCCAAAGTGCTTGGATTACAGGCGTGAGCCACCATGCCTGGCCCACTTGATTGATTATTATCTGATTAAATTTCGGTATCCTGTAAATGTCAATACAGCACTAAGGAATGGTAAGTGGAGGAAAATACAAGGAAAACAACTAGCTTCCATGGAGCATTCATCATATGTCCAGCTCATTATTCATTTATTCTTTTTTTTTTTGAGACGGAGTTTCCCTCTTGTTACCCAGGCTGGAGTGCAATGGCGCGATCTCAGCTCACCGCAACCTCCGCCTCCTGGGTTCAGGCAATTCTCCTGCCTCAACCTCCTGAGTAGCTGGGATTACAGGCACGCGCCACCATGCCCAGCTAATGTTTTGTATTTTTAGTAGAGACGGGGTTTCACCATGTTGACCAGGATGGTCTCGATCTCTTGTCCTCGTGATCCACCCGCCTCGGCCTCCCAAAGTGCTGGGATTACAGGCGTGAGCCACCGTGTCCCAGCTCATTTATTCTTTATAACAACCACATGAAGTCAGTATTACTTCCCATTTTAGAGATTAGGAAAAAGAGGCTAAGGGAGATGAAGTAACTTGCTCATGGTCAAATAGCTAGTAAGAGGCAAATATGAAACTTGAGCATGGATCTGTCTACCTCCAAAACCTATGCTAAAGTTCCAGATAGGAGCGGAAGAGGGGAGTAGTTGAAAAGGAAAGGCTTACTCTTCGGAAAAATTCATTGTGAACCAGCCTCAATAGTCCAACAGAGACCTCAGTCCCCTTTGCCAGCTGCCCAAGGTGGCACCTCACCACCTGACACTGCGTATTGCTCCCATTCTAACAGAACAAAGAGACAGATCAGGACTCTGGGGTGGAAAGCTCCCCTTCCCCCACCTCCAGTTCACACAACGTTGTCCCAAGGCACGTGACTCCATTTTCATTCCCACTGCAGATCAGGACCCTGGGGTGGAAAGAGCCCTTCGTCCCCACTCCAGTTCCCATCCCCTTGCCCCAAGGCACCTGACTCCCTTGCATTCCCACTTTGGACACCCCCCTGTGACTCCTACCAGTCTGTTTGTGTGTTGAAGCTCCTCTGGATGCACAGGGGGGCCTGGAGGCTCAGTCAAGTTTTGCACTGTGCAGCTTGCCTAGAGGAAGACCCTCCTGATGGGGTGAGGCTAGCCACTCAAGGCTGAGCAGGAACATATCCACACTCCTGTAGTTCTTCCCCTTATAATTCCCTTTTTTCCCTCCCAAATAAGCCACATATGTAAAAAGAAAGCCCCCCCCCAGAGGGCGGAGCCCCGAGAGCAGTGGCCCAACAGACAGGGAGCTGGGGTGGTGTCCAGCTTCAGTGAGACCACCAACTCAAGGTGGCAGGATTCCACGCACTCTGACCAGACTCACATTTTTAGTGATGACTTGAGACAGTGATAGGAAGTAATTGCCCCCATGGGCCACAGCTGGAAGGAAGGCTGAGATGATGAGGCCACTGACCACATAGCAGCCTAGATTCTGAACCTAAGAGGAAGGTTGGGAACAGGAAGAAGTGGGAGACAGAAGGTCCTTCCTCATCTGTTCCCCTTCGCCCTAGATACCATTAAAACCTAAGAGAGACTCTTCCCATCCTGTTCCCACAAGCCATTGTTCCCCCACCTACCCCTCATGCCAAGACCCCTCCAGCTTCTCACCCTGAGAGTGGTTTTGAATTCTGGGCCAGGACCCACCGGGAGGGTCCCATATGGGTAAACCTCATAGCGGTGCAGGGTGGACTCACTGTGTGAACACCAAGTCAGGAAGTGCATGGTCACAGCCATGACCCAGACACAGGGGCATGTGAGCAGCGCACAGACATGGATTCAGAGGAGGCAGGGCCAGCACATGGATAAAGAGATGGGGGTACATGGAGAAGACAGAAGCAGAACATGACACAGACAATGCGAGCTTTATGGCTACATCCCACATCCCCTCATCCCAGCTCTAGTGCCCAAGGCCTGGCAAAACCCTACACCTAGGAAAGCAAGATGCTTAAAAGGGAAGGTTCAGCATAAACAGGATTGAGGGCAAAAAGACTGAGCAGCCACAAGGGCTTAGGTTTCTGGAAACACTGAGGCACATGGAAGGGGAGGGAAGAAGCATAAGGGTATGAGTCTGAAGTCAGAACTGGTCCCACCTAGAAGCTGGGCATACCTAGAGAACAGGAGCTGAGGCTCATATTGGACATAGGCTGAGGTCTGAGCTGTGTTGTCCTGAAGGGTCGTATTTCTCTCCAGGCTGTCACTGTAGGGTCAGGGAGGAGAGGCTCACATCTCAACCCCTCCTCAGAAGACACCCTTCTCTGCTAATGGAGGAATCAATGCTGTTCCTCCCTACCCCTCAAGACTCAGCAGGAGAGGGCTGGAAGGAAGTTCCCTTTATTCTCACCTGCTGGCAGTCAGCTTCATGAAGATCTGGCTCAGAAGAGAGGAACAGCTAAACTCAAACTCTAGCAGAAAGGTTACCTAGGGGCAGGGGACATGGGGTAATGGTAGAGTCTTCCTCATGGAACAACTACAGAGGATCGGGAACCTTTGTGTGCCTCCTTCCCTGAAGTCCCAGAACCCTCAGATCCCAGTCCCTGCTCTCCTAGAGCCACCCTAGACTCTAGCTCTCCTAGAATCTAGGAGGCTAGACCCCAACTCACCTTGGCTCCAGTCTGGAAGACAGGATGCCCCACACTGCAGAGCCGGGCATGAGCAGAAGGGGCCGCACATTCCACCTTTATTGTGCTGTCCCTCTGAGGGCAGGGGAATGGAGATGGAAGCTGGAGCTGGGGCTGCAACTGCTGACTTACCACAGCCTCTAAACACTGAGCTTTCTCTAAAACACCTCACAGCTGAGGCCAACACCCCAATCTTCTTTCTCCTCGTTTCTTTCCTCCTCCCCCAACCCCTCCTCCCAGGGCACCTGAGGAGTGAGACTGGCCAGGTGGAGGTTTCCAGAGAAGATGAGACTCAGGCTAGTATTGTAAGCATTTTCCTTCCTGTTCTCCAGAGTTGCGGATACCAGCACTTTCCGCCGGCCACCTCGAACCACAAATGGAGCCTTCCTAGGAGTGGTGAATGAGGGAGAGACCAGGAGTTGAAGGAGCAGAGTGCTAGAAGTCTCACTTTTGTGATCATGGGTAAGAAACAACTCCCTGCCCCCAGCTCCCTTCGAGTCCCTTCCAGTCTGTCTCGGTCACCCTGGTTTGCCCAGCACATGCCCATCCAACCTGGAGCCTCTGAGGTCCATATTCATTTGAAGCACCAGGTCTGTGACACATTCATTGTCAGGGCCACAATCCTTTGAGAAGGGGACCTGGAAGAAAGGGAAGGGGCTAAGGGCTGAGAGGAAAGCAAGCGGGGAAGGAATAGAATGGGGGGAAAGTGGAAAGACAAAAGTGGGTATATTTTGATTAGAGGAGCCCAGGTCAGATTTCACCATGGTCTCAGGTCCTCTCCCTCCCTTTTCTCTTGAAGGAGGGGAGCGTTGGGACCAGGAGGCAGGGCATGGCACTGCTGACCAGCTTTTGTATGGAGGTGGGTGAGCCCTCATCCAGCACAGGCCCTGGCTTTGTGGTGTTGTCCAAGGCAAAGGTCACAGTCAAGGCCACTGGCCTGAGGTAATCTGATGTATCCTGAAGGAAAAGAGCCATAGAGTCAAAGATAATGTGATAATTGTAGTGATCATTTATGAAGCATTTCTTGTGTGCTGGGCACTGTCCTAAGATCTTATCTGTATTACCAGGTTTAATTTTAATACAACTCCTATGATATAGTTACTGTCATTATCACCCCTTTGCAGACAAGAAAACTGAGGTTTGGACTTGTCAGAATTCACAGGTGGTAAATGGCAGAGCTAGATTCAAACCCAGATCAGCCCTGACTCGAGTCTGAATCATCTCCTTTTCCTGGCTTTGGCTTCCTTGCTGATCCAGCTGAAATTCCTCCTCCAACCCAGCCTTCTCCTCATGCTCAGGCCCTGATGCAAAGCAGTTGCTGCCCTCCCCTTACCAGCACGTGGAAGTGTAGCTGCTCACAGGTGACATTCCCCACACTGAGCCGGAGCCTCTGAGCAGACAGCCTCTGGCCAGAGCCATCGAATGCTGCACGTGCCCCCGCCGTCCATTCATCCAGTGACGCTGTGAACCTCATGTCTGAATGAAGGAGGCCAGAGTGAGTGTGGAAAGGGGTCCAGTGAGGAAGCAGGCAAGGGGTTGAGAGTTGCCTGCGATGCATTTAGTCACTCACAGAATCGGCGATCCCAGCGACCCGGAGTATGGGAGGTCACTTGGAAGCAAAGGGCTGCAGTCGCACAGACTGCCTCCTGGCCTCGCCGCCTGCAGTCCCGCTGAACCACACTGATGGCCTCTGGGGTCACCTCCAGCGATGGGGCCAGGTGGACAATGGGTCGGGAGCTGGGAACAGTGTGGAAAAGAAATTCTAACTGTAGGAGATGAGCCCTCTGAGAAGTGCAAGCCCTGTGTTTGAAGGAGGAGGAGCTGGAAGCACATGTCACCTTCCCCCATACCCTTGAACAGCATTTCGGTTATAATTGACTGATCTTAATTTTTTTTTTTTTTTTTTTTTGAGATGGAGTCTCACTCTGTGGCCCAAGCTGGAGTGCAGTGGGGCGATCTCACCTCACTGCAACCTCCGCCTCCTAGGTTCAAGTGATTCTCCTGCCTCAGCCCCTTGAGTGGCTGGGATTACAGGCACCCACACCAGGCCCAGCTAATATTTTGTATTTTTAGTAGAGATGGGATTTCACCATGTTGGCCAGGCTGGTCTTGAACTCCTGGCCTCAAATGATCCTCCTACCTCGGCCTCCCAAAGTGCTGGGATTACAGGGGTGAGCCACTGCACATGGCTCTGGATTCACTTCAATAAGTACTTATACGCTAGGCACTGTGTTAAAGCCGTTATCTGGATCAGCTCATTTAATCCTCGCAATAAACCTATAAGGTAGGTACTATTATTGTCATTTTATAAAGTAGGAATGGAGACAAGGAGTAAGTTGATGAACAAACCCCAATCTCAATCTGTGACTTTAAGGCCCTTGCCTTTAACATATATGCTATGCTGTCCACTGCTACCTGAGCTGGGACCCCTCACCTGAGCAGGATGGCTGCCCCCTGGGCACCCACAGCCACATCAACCAGATCATCTCCATCCAGATCTAGCCGGCCATCCACACTTCGGCCAAAGTAGCTGAGGGCGTGTGGCATGGAGGCAGCAGTAATCCTCTGAGAGGAAGAGAGAGGAGACTGAGGCAGGGACTCATACACCTGGTCTCGCAGGCCTCCTGCCTCGAGCTCTCTCTCTCTCTCTCTCTTCCTTTCCTTTCTCCTTTCGCTTTTCCTTTCCTTTCCTTTCTTTGAGACTGAGTTTCATTCTTTTTTTTTTTTTGAGACGGAGTCTCGCTCTTGTTACCCAGGCTGGAGTGCAATGGCGCAATCTCGGCTCACCGCAACCTCCGCCTCCTGGGCTCAGGCAATTCTCCTGCCTCAGCCTCCTGAGTAGCTGGGATTACAGGCACGTGCCACCATGCCCAGCTAATGTTTTGTATTTTTACTACAGACGGGGTTTCACCGTGTTGACCAGGATGGTCTCGATCTCTTGACCTCGTGATCCACCCGCCTCGGCCTCCCAAAGTGCTGGGATTACAGGCTTGAGCCACCGCGTCCGGCCTGAGTTTCATTCTTGTTGCCCAGGCTGCAGTGCAATGGGATGATCTCGGCTCACTGCAACCTCTACCTCCCAGGTTCAAGCGATTCTCCTGCCTCAGCCTCCAGAGTAGCTGGGATTACAGGCATGCACCACCACGCCTGGCTAGTTTTTTATATTTTCAGTAGAGACGGGGTTTCTTCATGTTGGCCAGGCTGATCTTGAGCTCCTGACCTCAGGTGATCTGCCCACCTCGGCCTCCCAAAGTGCTGGGATTACAGGCGTGAGCCACCACGCCCGGCCATGCCTTGCTCTTTATAACCCTCCTATCAGGCATGGAAGTAAGAGAAACTTGCCTGCATTCAGGAGTTCTTGATTAGCAACCTGTATCCTACCTCACTACCTTACGTTTTTGCCTAATAAAAGCAATTGTTCTGTTTGGGTCTCAAGCCAAGGGGACTATTGACAAGCAAAGAGCATCCCTCCCTTCCCTTTCCTACAACCATGCCCCCACTTTATTTGGGTACTCCAGACCTGGGCAGGATGGGGCCTGACTCCACTCTGGGTTCCATGGTACAGGTACAGTGCTCCCTGGTGCCCATCCTCCAGAGGCGCCCCCACAGCTACATCAGCAAAACCATCTTGGTTGAGATCGGGAAGAGCACCCATGGCAAAGCCAAACCGAGCATCCTGGGGGGGTTCTGGCTGAAGTGTTCCTTGGAGGGTCAGCAAGGTCTGCTGGTGGGGGAGAGAAGATAGAAGATGCTAATCTGGCAGCCCCAACCTCTCAGCAAACCCTCAAATGTGTGTGGCTTTCCTCCTTTTCTCCCTCCATCCCTATGGTGGAAGTCCAGGGTGTGTGTTGGGGGGGTCCCAGCAAGTCTTACCTGGCCCACCAGATACACATAAACACGTCCTGTTTCCTTGTTCTGGGGTCCCAGGAACATGGGGGCAGCCACAAGTAAGACATCAGTTGTTCCATCCCTATCTGTATCCAATGGGCAGAGCTCACTGCCAAAGTATGAACCAATCTGGGGAAAGGTGGGTGATGACGACCCCAGAGGAAAGGGAAGGTGATTGTAGACAAGTAGACTCAGTGGGAAGCACTCACCAGCCTGCCAGTCTGCTCCTTACATCCCTGACAGACTCTGCCAACCAGAATTCCACACAGACTTTGCAGGCCTCTCTCTTACCCACTTCACACTCCTCCCCGACAGCCCGAAGATCCCTGGGAATCCAAAGGTCCCACCCTTCCTTGGATGCCCTACCTGCTCCCCCTGGAGGCTCTGGGCAACCCTCACAGCCCCATCTTTCTTAAGCTGGAAGGCGATGACTTTTCCTCGATGTCTAAATCGAGGAGCCCCAGAGAGAAAGAGGCGGCGTCCACCCGGCAAAAGCATGGAAGAAACAGAGTAACCTGGAAGTGGGCAAAGTAACAGAGGTAAAGGGAAAGAAGATGGGATCCAGAGTAGGGGGTTTCCCTAAAGGCATAGGAGGAGGTCAATGAGAAACTGCATGAGTTAAGAGGGAGTATTTCATACCCCCCACTAGGGATGTATTTCCTCCCCTACCCTGCAAGTCCTCTGCAACTCTCTGCTACTCACCCAGGTAGGCTGCATGGTTCTGCAATGCAGGGGGGAACTCGTCTTCCAGAGCCATTCGTGGGGGGAAAAGGCGGTGACCTCCTTCAAGCCATAGCACAGAGCCCCCCCAGTCATAGGCCCCCACCATTCCAAAGAGAATCCCATCCTGTGGGACAGGAGCAGATGGGGTCACAGAGAAGACAGTGGAGAATAAAGAGGAAAAAACGCTCCAGGAGTGAAAAGGTCACTGAGGGTCTGTTGGGCTCAGTAGGAAGGGCATGGGAAGGTCAGCATGGAGGCTGGTTAAAGGAGGAATCTGGAGGGCCCTGCTGTTGAAGTTATGTGAATCAGAGAACGGGAGAAGTCACGAATGGGTCAATCTGTCCAACCTTTAGCCGATGAGTGGAGAAACCAATCTGAGACATTTCCAGCCCAAAGGAGCTTTCATTTTCTGCATGGGACCCTTGGTCATGAGAAAATATTGAGACAGTATCAGGGGAAGACAGCTCCCCCTTTGACCTACTGAACTCACTCCAGAGCCCCACTTACACGCCAAAGCTCCTCCCATCCTATCCATTTCTCCAGAGTAATCCTTACCTTCGAGGCCAAAAATCCGATCTCCTAGCGCATCCACAATGTCAGTCAGAGCAGCCTCATCTGTGACATTGAAGAAGAATCGCTCATCTGGATCACTGGCAATAGTTCTAATTTCTCTCAGGAAAGAGCTGGGATCTCGCTGCCGCCGGAGGTAGTGACCAAGGACCTGAAAGGTCATGAGATCAAGGAATGAGGCATTAGAGTTGGTACAGAACACAGTCAACTGACATAAAGTGGCTGAAGTCTGGGAAGTAGTTAATGCCCTTGTTTTCCTCAAGTTCCCAGTCCTTGGACAGTTCACAAGATGCTGCCCTCCCCCACCTCCAGCCCTTCCAGATCCAGGGTCAATTCTCACTGCAATCCCATAGCGTGTCACTCTTCCAGCCTCACAGGCCTTTAGTGCTGCAGGAAGCTCCTCTCCATCGTGGGACTCTCCATCAGTGACAACCACCAGCAGCCTGGCAGCCTCGGGTCTGCCCCCATGGGACTGACTGAACCCTTCTGTGCTGAGAAGAGAGAGAAAGGAGTGAGGTGTGATCAGATGTATGCAAACACACACACACGCGCGCGCACACACACACACACACACACACACACACACAATTTAACATCAGCAGTTCACTGAGTTCGGGCATCTTGCCTTCTAGCCCATTTCCTGAGCATCTAAGATGGAAACGGGCATGTAGTGACAGCTCAAATGTTTGAATGTCATCGAACATACAGAGTAGCTTATCAATGCAAATAAGTACAACATTCATACACTCAGATTCATTCAACAAATATTGCACTTGAGAGGACAAATACTAAGGAAATACAGAACAGAAGAGAATGCTCCGGGCAGGGACGCCTCCCAGAGATGAGTTGTTTTGTTTTGTTTCAGTTTTACCACCTCGCCCTAGAGATGAGTTTTGGATCATGTTTGGAACGTGGGCTGGGACATCAGTAGTGGAGAACCTGAGGGCCAGGATCATTGTTCGGGTGGAAGGATAGAAAGAGAATTCTGTCTGTGAAACATGGAGAGACACAGGCATAGACACTTCGCAGAAATGCAGAGAGAGGGAGTGCAATGACAACTTCTTAGCCTTCCTCTGGGCCCCATTCATGTACACACAAAAAGATAAGCATGCAAGACACCTCGGGTTATACACACTGCACTCCAAACGCGCCCTAACTCTTCTAAGCCTTCATTGCTCTAGCCTCCCACACCCCTCTTCCCAGCGCCTCACCAGGCCACCATTATTGCTTGGGCAGTCTTTGTTTCTCGTCCCTCCCGCCGACTGAGGTTCTTTGCTGCTCTCACCACTTCTTCCTTGGTTCGGAAATCTCCCAGGGACCACTCATGTACAGGGCTCTCCCCATACTGTACCAGTCCCACCTGGGAATAAAGTGCGTTCAAATGCAATGTTGTATATGGGATGGGGGGAGAGGAAGAAGAAGAAAGTGTGTGAGAGAGGAGAGATGAACACCTGGATACTACTGAAGACACCACCTACATTCATCTCCTCTCTGTCCCTCCCCTTCCAAGCCCATCCATATTGCCATTTGCTCTTTCTCTAAGAGATGAGTTCTCACTCTTTCACCCAGGCGGGAGTGCAGCTGTGTGATCAAAGCTCCCTGCAGCCTCAAACTCAGGGGCTCAAGTGATCTCTTGCCTCAGCCTCCCGAGTAGTAGGGCTGCGGGTACATGCCACCATGCCTGGCTAATTTTTTTTTCCTATTTTTAGAGATGAGGTCTCACTATACTGCCCAGGCTAGTCTTGAACGCCTGGCCTCAAGGGATCCTCCCACCTCTACCTCTTGAGTAGCCGGCACAAGCAACTGCGCCCAGCTCATATTGCCTTCTCTTACCTGTATCTGTTCCGGGTCAATAAACAGTTTCCCTACCAGTCTTCGCAGGAAGGTCTGAACTTCAGACCAGGGGTAGATGCTGTTGGAGCCATCCAAGACGATGACCACATCCATGTACGTTGGGCAGCCTAGAAGGAAGGATATGGTGATGGGAAACACAGAGGTAGAAGACACTGAGCTGGGGCAACAAAGGAAAGAGGTTACAGGATGACACATTCAATTTAGACATTTATAAGGCACTTCTTACATGCAGAGAAGGTAGTGTGCCAGGCTCTGTGTAAGTGTAGAAATTAACAAAAGATTACTTTAGTAATTTTAGTAATTGTAAGTATAGATATATAAATGTAGATATATGTGTGCATGTATATATGTATATATAGGTCTATAAACACACACATATACCCATTTATATACATAAATATAATTTCTGTGTAAAATGTTCTTTTTATTTATTTATTTATTTTTTTTGAGGTGGAGTTTCGCTCTTGTTACCCAGGCTGGAGTGCAATGGCGTGATCTTGGCTCACCGCAACCTCCGCCTCCTGGGTTCAGGCAATTCTCCTGCCCCAGCCTCCCGAGTAGCTGGGACTACAGGCGTGCGCCACCATGCCCAGCTGATTTTTGTATTTTTAGTAGAGACGGGGTTTCACCATGTTAACCAGGATGGTCTCAATCTCTTGACCTCGTGATCCACCCGCCTCGGCCTCCCAAAGTGCTGGGATTATAGGCGTGAGCCACCGCGCCCGGCCATAAAATGTTCTAAAAAACAAGAAGGAATTAAATGCTAGGTAGGAACACAGCATGACTCTGTACTGTGAGGGAATGAAAGAGGATTGGTTCTGACGGTGGGGAATGAAATGCAGTAGCAACTAAGAAGATAATGAAGACTGAAAATGTTTGAGAAGATAATATAGGGAAAAGCATTTGGGCAGAGAACATTTTGTTTGTTTTTGAGACAGAGTCTCACTCTGTGGTTCAGGCCGGAGAGTAGTGCCATAATCATGGCTCACTGCAGCCTTGACCCCCTGGGCTCAAGTGATCCTCCCTCCCGAGTAGCTGGGACTGCAGGCATTTACCACCATGCCTGGCTAATTTTTTTATTTTTTATTTTTGTAGAGAAGGGGGTCTCTCTATGTTGCCCAAGCTGGTCTCAAACTCCAGACCTCAAGCAATACTCCTGCCTTGGTCTCTCAAAATGTGGGGATTACAGGCATGAGCTACTGTACCAGGCCAGATCATGGACGCCTGATAAGGAGTCTGAATTATTATTATTATTATTATTATTATTATTATTATTATTATTGAGACGGAGTCTCACTTACTCTGTCACCCAGGCTAGAGTGCAGTGGTGTGATCTCAGCTTACTGCAACCTCCACCTCCTGGGTTGAAGCGAGATTCTCCTGCCTCAGCCTCCCGAGTATCTGGCATGTACCACCACGCCCGGCTAATTTTTTTTTTTGTTTGTTTGTTTGTTTGTTTTGTAGAGATGGGGTTTCACCACGTTGGCCAGGCTGGTCTCGAACTCCTGACCTCAAGTGATCTGCCCACCTTGGCCTCCCAAAGTGCTGGGATTACAGGTGTGAGCCACCACACCTGGCCAGGAGTCTGAATTCTAATCTGTTAGGAAACATGGAGCTTTTGCAAGCACATTAGGTAGCACTGAGGCTAGCCATGCAGGCCCTCTGCCAGGCATCATACCCCTTTGCCCCATCTTTTTCCCTCCCAGTATCCCATTCCAGGAACTAAGTCCTCAGGCCCTTCCTCTGGCTCACGTTGGGCAGTGGGTGCCAGGCTTCCCTGGGGCCGGAATGAAGCATCCACATGGGCACATATCCCAGAACTGAAGACAGAGCTGCCACAAGCACGAGACCAGAGAGGGGCACAGGCCTGAGGATGGGGGAAATAGTTACTCCCAGGCTTGGGAGGGCACCCTGAGAACATGCTCCCAGTCGAAGGCGGCATGAAGACCACTCCCCGACATTACCTACCTTGCTTTCTAGGGTTTTTAACTTCTTGACCACCCTTCCCCCTGCCGCTACAGACCACGTTCCCTTACCACACTGCTCTTTTTTCTGCTCTGGACCTTCAGAGAGACACTGCAACCACCCTTTCCTTAGCTCACCATGAATCCCCCATCACCATCTGTCTCTAACAGAGACATCCCCAGGTGCATATTCACAGCAGGATGAGATGAATTTCCCAGTTGATAGTCACCTGGTTGGAAGGAGGTGGAAGAAAATGAGATCATGGGGTCACAGATGGGGCACTTAAATTCACGTGATTTTGGAGAATAAGCAGGGATTGATATTAGATTGGGGACAGGGAGTATGTGAATTTTAGCGGTGAAGAAGCTGAGGTATGGGGGTTGAAGCTTGTAGGGTATCAAGGCCAGGAGTTAGGAGGAAAAGGGTCAGGAATCTTACCTAAGTGGCCCTTGGCACATGGGGCATTGTGGCCCCCCCCTACAGGGCAGCGATAAACGTCCCCCCTCCGGTCGCCTGAAGGCCCATCCCAGGGGGCGCCCACCAGCATCCTGGGAGGAGGATGTGAATATAAGCATAGGGCAAACATGATCGTTGACATAGGCCAAAGGGAAAGAGCATGGAGGTGGCAAGTTTAGAGCCCCAGCCACTTTCAAAAGGCCAGATGAGTTTAGAGTCCCATCTATTTTGCCTCCCCTTTTGAGCACTCCTGCAGTCCCAATCCCATGGCACTCTGGTTTCTTCCTCACCATCGCTGTCCACCCACAACGTGTTGTAAGACGCTGTAGCCAAATTCCGCTCCTGGCGGCCCTGGGAATAGGCGTGGGTGATGGTCATCCAGGTTAAAGGGGGAGCAGAGACCTGTGGGACCAGGATCATAAGGTTAGCATGAGGTAGTGAATGACTAGAGGCACAGCCAGAGAAGCTGTGAGGGAATGTCTTAATCTCAATCTGTCTGCCTGCTTTTTCACTCATAAGCTTTTCTGGCCTCTCTCAGAGTCATGTACTCAGAGCCCCAGGCAAAGATGATCCCCTTCCTGTGTTTGTGTCCAGATGCCTAACCTATGGCCCTCTGCCATGCTGATGTACAGCTGTATTTCCATTCCCACCCCTGAAATTTCATTCACAGACATGTCTGAAAAGGTCAAGTTACTCTTTTCCACATCATTCCTCCTACACAATCTCCTCAACAAACTGTGAGGTCAAAAGAGGGAGAGGGCCTTTCTGTAGCCCCAGAACAACCATTGCTTCCAATTCTCCCCAAATGAAAGGAAGCTAAGGAGTACTGCACATCTGGCTCTCTCCTTCTCTCTTCCTGACTCCCAGTGTCATTGTCACACTCTCGCTGTCTTTCTCCAATGTCTAGGTCCCTGGTTGATTGCAGCCTTGGAAATCTCAGTAGCAATTAACTGGGTGGGGCCACCCGCCTGCCCACACACATAGTTTGCCATCCATCCTTGCCAAGGGTCCCATCACCCCAATGTTTCCCACAACCTGCTTCCTTTTTAACTCATCTACTCTCCCCACTACCTCCATGGTTTCTTCAGCCTTCAGCCCACTCTAAAGGTGCCCCCTCCTGGCCGATCTTCCCTTTGACCCCAATGCCTTTAAAATCAGAGCTGGTATTTTAGGAAACAACGATTACAGGGCACTGCCAAGGGAAAATTCCAGGCCTCATGTCTTTCCCATGGTTCTTTTCCCAACTATGTCTTGCTCTGTACTTCTAAGCAACCCCCTCTCGGGCTACCCTTCACCCCCACCCCCCACACCATTACCAATGGCTATAGCTTTATCCCAAACCATGCTCATTTGCAGAAAGGTGTTTTGTATGTGAGCAATTTTGCATCCAAAAAACTGGCAGGGCTATATGAAACTGCAGCTTATTGGTTAGATGAATCAGAAACTGCAGCTTATTGGTTAGATGAACCCAGAGTTCTGACCACATAGTTAGTCAGTTATGCCTCAAGTCCCAGGGACCACCAAGGGTAAGGAGAAGTTAGGGAGGGGATAATAGGAATCAGACTGGCCACGTGGAAGGTCACATCTCATTTCTTTTTCATCTTCTTGCTCCTACAGGGCTTAGGATGAAAATTTTATATATTTAGATACAAATCTTGGCCAGGCATGGTGGCTCATGCCTGTAATCCCTGCACTTTGGGCAGCTGAGGTGGATGGGTTGCTTGAGTCCAGGAGTTAAAGACCAGCCTGGCCAACTCTGTTGGCCAACCAGACATGGCAAAACTCTGTCTCTTAAAAAAAAAAAAAATTAGCCAGGCATGGTGGTACATGCCTATAGTCCCAGCTATTCGGGAGGCCAAGGTGGGAGGATCACCTCAGCCTGGGAGGTTGAGGCTAGAGTGAGTTATAATCATGCCACTGCACTCCATCCAGCTGGGGTGACAGAGTGAGACCCTGTCTCAAAATAACAACAACAACAAAAACTGGGCATGGTGGCATGTACCTCGTAGTCCCCACTACCGAGCCACTGCATTCCAGCCTAGGCAACAAAGTCAGACCCTCTCTTTAAAAAATAATCATTATTATTATTAGATACAAATCTTACATAAGGTCCTAGGCAGCTTTAGCCCCTGCCAGTCCCAATATTGAAACAGTCATACGTGAGGGCATAAAAATGCACAAGCACACAGCCACTCATACAAGAAATACAGGACCAGTGTTTGCTTCCTAACCTAAATTCCAAAGAATTTTAACCGTCCCAATTCCAAACAATCTATATATCTTCCATTCCTACCAGAAACCAAGAAGTTAACCTCCCTCACCTGTCAGGAGCATCAGGGACAAGAACAGGTGAGTGACGAGGGGGAGCTCCATGCCTGATCGTTTTGTCCAGTATGAGAAGTTCTCTGGCCTCTGTCTGTCCCTCTCTTTTTCTGTTTTCTTTACTTTCCCTCCCATCCTGCCCCCTCCCACTGGCAGCTAAAAATAAAGTTGAAAGGAATGGGAGGAGTGATGGTGGGGAACTGCGGGGAGCCCCAGACCAAGGAAAGGACTGAGCAATCTTTTAGTCTATTTCTCTGCCTTGGTGCTGCCCCCTGCAGGCCTCATCTCTATATCCAAAGAGAACATATTTTTTTGCCCATTTCAGCCATTTCTTCTTTTCTTCCCTTTATTGTTGCCAGGTTAATAATGCTTTCTTCAAATTTGGAACAGGAGTGGGAATTATTTTTTTTTTAATAAGAAAAAATCTTAAACTTTTGTCTAAAAGTTTTAGACAATTTTTTTTAGATGGAATCTTGCTCTGTAGCCCAGCTGGAGTGCAGTGGCCTGATCTCGGATCACTGCAACCTCTGCCTCCCAGGTTCAAGGGATTCTCCTGTCTCAGCCTCGAGTAGCTGGGATTACATGTATTCACCACCACACCTGGCTAATTTTTGTATTTTTAATAGAGATGGGGTTTTACAATGTTAGTCAGGATGGTCTTGAACTCTTGACCTCATGATCTGCCCGCCTCGGCCTCCCAAAGTGCTGGGATTACAGGTGTGAGCCACTGCACCTGGCTAGAGAAATTATTTATATTGAGAATAGAGACAGGGTTTCACTATGTTGCCCAGGCTGGTCTTGAACTCCTGAACTGAAGGAATCCTTCTGCCTCAGCCTCCCAAAGTGAGCCACTGTACCCGGCTGGGAGATAGGGAATCGATCCTTTTTTTTTTTTTTTTTTTTCTTTTTTAAGGCAGAGTCTCACTCTGTCACCCAGGCTGGAGTGCGGTGGTACAATCTTGGCTCACTGCAAACTCTGTCTCACGGGTTCAAGCATTTCTCATGGCTCAGCCTCCCATGTAGCTGGGACTACAGGCACATGCCACCATGCCTGGCTAATTTTTGTATTTTTAGTCGAGGTGGGGTTTTACCATGTTGGCCAGGCTGGTCTTGAACTCCTGACCTTAAGCGATCCAACTGCCTCAGCCTCCCAAAGTACTGGGATTGCCAGCATGAGCCACCACTCCTGGCCGATAGATTCTTTTCACCTCCTAACCTAATTATCTCAACCTGTAATACGGAAAATCAAAGAGCTGACAGCAGTGGTATCATTTCCCTACCCACCTAGGGGAGTCCCAACATGTGAAGACACAGCTCCAAATTCTTACCAGCCCCACTCCACTTGATTCTGTTCTTGGCTCTTAGCCTATGCTGACATGTGGCATTCTACTTCTTAGAGGAACTATATCTGAATTGGTATGAGATGTGTTTTGCGGAGCCAGGATAATAACTTTAGTATTAGACCATCCCTCTGCTACTCCAACTCCTCAACTAGGTTATAGACTTCTTAAAGTCGTGGAGCTTCTTAGATTTTTGGATGCCCATTACTTCGTATTTTGCTTTGCATACTGTAGGCGCTCAATAAAAGTAATGTGGGTGATGTTAGTGACTAATCCCATGAAAAACCCAAACCACAGTGACAGAAATAGGGGCTTCAAATGACCAAAAAGTGAGGGACCAGACTAAACGCTGATGAGCAAACTGAACTTTAATTTGCTTACCTGAAAGGCTTGCTCTTCATTATTGGCACAGGCCACATCTATTTACACAGAATCATTGTACAGTATTTACAGGAAGATGCTAGACACAGCATCATTCTGGATAAGCAACGAAGGGGTAAGAACAGGCTAGGGAATAAAGCTCTGAAATCAGTGTCAGCAGAAATCTGAAGGTATGTGTACAAGGAAGGATAAGGGCCAAATCACAAGCAAAGTTGGTGAGGTAGACACGAGGGAGGAAGAGGAAACGTCAAACAGCTTGTGGTGCAGAGATACGAGGGAAGAGTCCACTGGCACATCAAGGCTTAAAAATTATGATTTGGAATGTGAAGAAGGAAAAATCTGCCATAAGCCACCTCTGTGAGAAAAAAGAAGGCAGTTAGAACCTTACAGACAAAATCTTATACTTCCTCTAAAAAAGTAATTCTGCTGATTAAATCTCTGGATAGAATGAGATTTAATAATAATAAAAAAAAGACAGATGGACACAGAATCTTAAATAGACTTAAGAGGCACAAAGTAAACACATTCAAGAGAGACATAGACAATGAAAGAGGAAAAGAACAGAAGACCAGGCACATCTAGAAATTAGAGTCATCCTATTAACTTCATAGTCACCTTTCCTCAACTCATCCTCCCCAAAGCTCGTCCTCCACCCCAAATCCCTGAATTTCTAATTTGAACTTTTTAAGTAGAATTAGAAGGAGTCTGGCACATGAGGGACGATCTAAGATTCCATCTCACCAATTTAGGTCCCCCCCTTATCCTGTACCAGAAAGTCAGGGCTTGAGTCGTAGCCAGGGATAGATTAGGGTGAGAATAGACAGGATGGAGGACACGAGGCCACAAAGCCCCACAATCCCAGGGCCACAACGCCAGAGGCCTAGTTTGTCCAGTGGAATGAAGAGATCACAGGCATTTCTGACCACATCCAGCAGAAGTGGGGGATGACCTCTAAGGACTCGAGCCAGAAGCAGGACTTGGAGCCGAAGTTTCAGAGCCAGTTGGGGCAGACCTCCTCCTGGGGTCCCTGGTCCCCCAAGTCCCCCAGTTTCAATTCCTCCTGGGACTCCTCCTCCGGAACCTTTCAGTCGCCGGCTACAAGCTGAAGACTCTTGTTCCATCAGTAGGCGAATCTCATAAGCATCACGGCTCAAATTCATGATGAGGGAAAACAAATAGTACCTGATACACAGAGCAAAAGGGTCAGTAAGGACATGTGTACCTACTTAACATATCCAACATCATATTTTAGCATTTTCTTTTCCTGAAGCACAAAGAGATTACGTATTAGGTCACCAGAAGTGAAGTGAATGCTATTACCCCTATTAGAAATGTCCTCCCTTGAGGAAATTATGCCAAATAAAATAAGCCAGACACAGAAAGACAAATACTGCATAATCTCACTTATATGTGAAGCTAAAATGAGACCAGGTGTGGTGGCCCATGCCTGTAATCCCAGCACTTTGGGAGGCTGAGACTGGCGGATCACCTGAGGGCAGGAGAACGAGACCAGCCTGGCCAACATGGCGAAAACTTGTCTCTACCAAAAATACAAAAATTGGACAGGCGTGGTGGCTGGCGCCTGTAATCCCAGCTACTTGGAAGGCTGACGCAGGAGAATCGCTTGAACCTGGGAAGCAGAGGTTGCAGTGGGCCAAGATCTCACCACTGCACTCCAGCCTGGGTGACAGAGCAAGACTCTGTCTAAAAAAAAAAAAAAAGCAGCCTAACTCATAGAGGCACAGAATAGAATGGGGGTTGCCAGGGGTTGGGGAGTGAGTGAGGGAAATGGGAAAATACTGGTCAAAGCATACAAGTTTCAATTATGCAAGATGAATAAGTTCTGGAGATCTGATGTACAGCACTGTGACCATAGTTAACAATGCTGTAGTGGCTGGGTACGGTGGCTCATGCCTGTAATCCCAGCATTTTGGCAGCTCAGGGCAGGTGGATCATGAGGTCAGGAGATCGAGACCATCCTGGCTAACATGGTGAAACCCTGTCTCTACTAAAAATACAAAAAAATGAGCCAGGTGTGGTGGCACGTGCCTGTAGTCCAAGCTACTCAGGAGGCTGAGACAGGAGAATCGCTTGAACACAGGAGGTGGAGGTTGTGGTAAGTGGAGATGGCATCACTATACTCCAGCCTGAGCAACAGAATCAGACTCTGTCTCAAAAAAAACAAAAAAACAAAAAACCAAACAATGCTGTACTGTATACTTGAAATCTGCCAGGAGGGTAGATCTTAAGTGTTCTTACCATAAAAGAAAAAAGGTAACCATGTGAGGTGATAGGTATGTTAATTAGCTTGATTGTGGTGATCATTTCATAATGTACACGTACAAATATCGAGCAGAAAGTCCTTAAATATAGACTATTTCTTTTTCTTTTTTTTTATTTGAGACAAAGTCTTGCTCTGTCACCCAGGCTGGAGTGCAATGGCATGATCTCAGCTCACTGCAATCTCCACCTCCCAAATTCAGGTGATTCTCCTGCCTCAGCCTCCCGAGTAGCTGGGACTACAGGCACGTGCCACCATGCCTGGCTAATTTTTCTATTTTTAGTAGGGATTGGGTTTCATTATGTTGGCCAGAATGGTCTCCATCTCCTGACTTTGTGGTCTGCCCGCCTCAGCCTCCCAAAGTGCTGAGATTACAGGCATGAGCCACCTCACCTGGCCAATACATACAATTTCTATTTGTCAATTATGCCCCAATAAAAATGAAGAAACAAAGTCCTCTCACCATTCTGTAACTAATATATGTTTATGTGATGTGCATACGATCCTGGTTTAAACTTCATGAGCATCATAAAATCTTACAAGGTCAATCTCAAATTTCATTTTCTACTTGGCAACACACACACACACACACACTCAACTTGACCTATAACAAGGCAAACTTGTTTTGAAAAAACAAATTTAAGTTGTTTCAGACTCAAACATATCATAGGTTATCTAAATCCAATCCCTATTCCTTAAAAAAAAAAAAAAAAAAAAGAGGCCCACAGGTTTAAGTAATTGCCAAATATGTTAGATTATAAATTTCTTCAGTACAAAATCCATGTTTAAAAGTTTTAATCCAATCTGACAATGGTGGTCCGTACTCAATAACATGTTCTACCTTCAAAGTATATCCTGAATCCAACCACATCTCTCTATCACACCTCACCACCATACTCTAAGCCAGTAACATCTCCTGTCTGGACTACTGCTTTAGTGTTTTAACTGGTCTCATTGGGGCCATTCTTGCCCCTAACCCCAACAATCTATTTTCATACAATAGCTAGCATAAACGTAAATCCCGTCATTATGGGATTTTTTTTTTTTTTTTTTTTTTTGAGACAGAGTCTCACTGTTGCCCAGTCTGGAGTGCAGTGTCGTGTCGTGGTCTTGACTCACTACAACATCTGCCTCCCGGGTTCAAGAGATCCTCCTGCCTCAGCCTCCTGAGTAGCTGGGTCTACAGGCATGTGCCACCATGCCCAGCTAATTTTTGTATTTTTAGTAGAGACAAGGTTTCACCTTGTTAGCCAGGATGGTCTCGATCTCCTGACCTCGTGATTCGCCAGCCTCAGCCTCCCAAAGCGCTGGGATTATAGACATGAGCCACTGTGCCCAGCCCATTACGTCCCTTCTTAAAACCCTCCATGGTTGGCCTGGCATGGTGACTCACCCCTATAATCCCAGCACTATGTGAGGTCGAGGTGGGCAGACCATGAGGTCCGGAGTTCAAGACCAGCCGTGACCAACATGGTGAAACCCTGTCTCTACTAAAAATACAAAAATTAGCCAGGCGTGGTGGCATGTGCCTGTAATCCCAGCTACTCAGGAGGCTGAGGCAGGAGAATCACTTGGAGGCTGGAGAATTGCTTGATCCCAGGAGGCAGAGGTTGCAGTGAGCCAAGATTGCGACACAGCAAGACTCCATCTCAAAAACCAAACAAACAACAATAAAAACAACTCTCCATGGTTTTCTTCCTATCACATTCATAATAAAATCTAAACTTAGAGAGTCTTACAGACTCAACATCTAGTCCCTACCCCTCTAACTTTATCCTGTACTATTCATTCCCTCAATCATTATGCTCCAACCATGTTCGTTTCTTTCTACATTTTAATCCCATCAAGCTTGTTCTTGCCTTAGGACCTTTGCACTACCTATTCCCTCTACCTGGAATACCCTCCCTTCAAAATCCTCACACAGCTGGCTCTTTCTTGCTCTTCAGGTCTGAGCTTAAATATCACCTCTTCAGAGAGGCCTTCCCTGATCCCTAAAATCTAAAGCACTGAGTCAGTTACTGTCTACTCCATGATCCATTTTAATTTCCTGCATAACATTTACAAATATCTGATATTTTTATTGACTGTTTATGTTTATCTCCTTCCATTACAAGGTAAGTTCCAGAGGAGCAGAGGCCTTGTTTGTCTTTAACCACTGTATCCCTGTGTGTAGACTGGTGCCTACCATATAGTAACAGCTAAGTATCTGCTGGATGAAATGAATAAATGTAACATATATAGTCTTTTAGGGAGCTGCTTTTCCACACTGCTTCAGCCACGCCTCCACCCCCACCCCTCATACATCATGAGCCATGTTATAGTTGTTTATCACCCAGAAAGATGAAGAGGGCCGGGCATGGTGGCTCATGCCTGTAATCCAAGCACTTTGGAGGCCAAGACGGGCGGATCACTTGAGGTCAGGAGTTCAAGACCAGCCCAACCAACATGGTGAAACCCCATCTTTATTTAAAAAAAAAAAAAAAGAGAGAGAGAGAAAGATGAAGAGAAAAGCAAGACAGAAATGGAGACGGAAAGAAGCTAATATGATGAAAAAGTACAAAGGCAATCATAGGAAAACAAAAACAAATACAGATAATATGCTAAGAATTTTACTCCCAAATCATATTTCTTTCTACCTTCATTGTCAGCTACCTCTTTTGCCCAAGCCAACATCATCTCTTGCTCATATTAGGGCATCTCCTCCTCCCTTGCCCCCACTGCAATCCATTGTCTGTCTTTCCTTTTTTTTTTGAGACAGAGTTTCACTATTGTTGCCCAGGCTGGAGTGCAATGGCAGGATCTCAGCTCACTGCAACCTCCACCTCCAGAGTTCAAGCGATTCTCCTGCCTCAGCCTCCTGAATAGCTGGGATTATAAGCAGGTGCCACCACGCCCGGCTAATTTTATGTTTTTAGTAGAGACGGGGTTTCTCCATGTTGGTCAGGCTGGTCTCGAACTCCTGACCTCAGGTTATCCGCCTGCCTCGGCCTCCCAAAGTTCTGGGCTTATAGGCGTGAGCCACCACGCCCAGCTACAATCCATTTTCAACATCTCAGAAAGAGATGTCCTTTAAACACAATTTGAATCATGTTATTTCTCTGCTCAGAATCCTTTAATAATGTCCCATTGTAGAATAAAATTTAATTAAAATAAACATTAACATTGCCTAAAAGGCCCTGTATGAATGATCTGGCACCTGTCTCTCAAATTTGAACTTACGGACTCAATACTGTCCATCACACTGCCTTTCTATTTCTCTAATTCCCTGAAGTTTTTCTTGGTTCAAAGCCTTACTTAGAATGTGCTATTTTCTCTGTTTGGAAATAACTTTTCTGTTACTGTTGGCTTTAACTCCTCCTACTCAGAAATCAGCTCTGAACTAAAATATTACTTTCTCAAAGAGTTTTTCCTGATTTTTCAATCTAAATTAGCTCCCTTGTTATATTCTTTCATAATACCATATACTTTTCCACAAATATATATGAGAAGTTATTTGTTGTAGTATCTAACTCCCCCACTAAACCGGAAGCTTCATGGGAGCAGGCACATTATCTTTTCAGCTCTTTGCTTTATCCCCTGCCCCACAGTAAGCATCTAATAAATATTTTTGTAATGAATGAATAAGCAGGTGGTGAGGGGGAATAACCTGTGGTACAGATAAAAGCACAATTAAAGTGATATAATATCTTACCTTAACAAATTAGTCATTCATTATGGAAGAGCATCTGTCTTCCATCTGCCCCCATTTGTTATTCTCCGATAGTTTAAGATCTAAGTGAAGATTGGAAGTCAAGTGACTGATCAAGACTTACATACTCTGGGAAGATCCTAAGAGATCTTTCCCTCATATAAGACAAGCTATGTAATACAGAGGCTACAAAAAAATCTTGTAGGAGAGAAAAGGATATCAAACCTGAATGAACGCTGGGCCCACTTCTCCTGATCCACACGAGGAGCCAGTCCAGACTTTCCAGCCCACAGGACATTGTCACAGGCGAAGTACAAGGCTCGATTGAGGTGACTAACAGTGATGCAGAATCTCAGGACAACATCTGACAGGTGCACAGCTCTTTTGGCTGACTCAAGGGCATCTGCTGAGTTACCCAGGCGTAGAACTTGTGGAGATTAGAGAGGGAAAGCAAGGATTTGTAAGTAGAGAGGCAGATAGCAAGAAACAGAGAAAGAGGGCAAAAGTTGGGCAATAATTGTAACAATTTTTTTTTAGACGGAGTCTTGCTCTGTTGCCCAGGCTAGAGTGCAGGGGCGTAATCTCAGCTTACTGCAAACTCTGCCTCCCGGTTCAAGCAATTCTTCTGTCTCAGCCTTCCAAGTAGCTGAGATTACAGGTGCCCGCCACCACGTTCATCTAAATTTTGTGTTTTTAGTAGAGACAGGATTTCACCGTGTTGGCCAGGCTGGTCTTAAACCCCTGATCTTGTGATCCACCTGCCTCAGCCTCCCAAAGTGCTAGGATTACAAGTGTGAGCCACTGGGCCCAGCCAACAATTTTTTTAAAGAGCAGAAACAGGCCAGGCGCGGTGGCTCAAGCTTGTAATCCCAGCACTGTGGGAGGCCGAGGCGGGTGGATCACGAGGTCAAGAGATCGAGACCATCCTGGTCAACATGGTGAAACCCCGTCTCTACTAAAATACAAAAAATTAGCTGGGCATGGTGGCACATGCCAGTAATTCCAGCACTTTATTAAGAGGCCGAGGCGGGCAGATCAGAGGAGTTTCAGACCAGCCTGGCCAACATGGTGAAACCCTGTCTCTACTAAAAATACAAAAATTAGCCAGGCGTGGTGGTGGGCGCCTGTAGTTCCAGCTGTTCAGGAGGCTGAGACAGGAGAATAGTTCGAACTCGAGAGGCAGAGGTTGCAGTGAGACGAGATTGCACCACTGCACTCCAACCTGGGTGAGTGTTAGACTCCATCTCAAATAAAAATAAAAATTAAAAATAAAGAGCAGAAACAGTTCATTTTTCATTTCTTTTTTTTTTTTTTTTTCTCAAGACGAGCTTTCACCATATTGGTCAGGCTGGTCTCAAACTACTAACCTCAGGTGATCCGCCCGCCTCAGCGTCCCAAAGTGCTGGGATTATAGGCGTGAGCCACTGCGCCCGGCAACAGTTCATTTTTCAATTTCATATTTAATTTTTGTGCCAGTTTACTTTTCTCAAACTTGCCCCATTCTCTCCAATCCTCCTAATTACTCCCATACCCCTGCTCTCTTAGCTCAACTGGACGCATGCAGAAGCTAAGTGCAGAGCCAAATGAGGAAGAACAGGCGGAGAAGGTACAGGAAGGAGGGACCAAGGAAGGAGAGGTGGGGATGGAGGAAGGGTTGGGGAGATAAAAGAAAAGACAGAGTTACTTACGCTTTCTTCCCAGGCTCAGGTGGCCCTCCAGTTGTCGAATCTGTTTCTGTAACTCAGGACTGGCTCCATGCCTCTGCAGCGCATGGCCAAGAAGAGAGCAAGCATACTGGGCGGCCCTAGAGGAGGGGGCAGGCAAGGTAAGGTGGAGACCTCCCTAACCTATTCCGCTCAAAACTATCCTCCGAAAGGCAAAGACAGTCTTCCCCCTTTTCCAGCGTGAGACCACTCTCTTTCCTCCTCCATGCCCATATCTCGCCATTTCTCCAGGCCAGGGGAAGGGAAAGGGATAAGGAGAAAAAAAGAGCCTAGAAAGGGGTGAGGAGCACTATTGAATGTTGAGGAAATAAGAAATTTGACAATGATGAGGCCTGAGGGGCCAGTGAAGGCCGTACGGGTCCGTCACAAGCACATCGGCGTGAGCCTGTACGTGATCGGTGAGGGGAAGGCAGACAGCTGGAGGGCATTTTATTCATCAGAATAGGTGAACTAAGAGATTTCAAGGCCCTCTAGCTGAATGGAGACCAAACGCCAGAGCGGAGGCAGAGGAGTTCCCGAATGACAGCACCGTGAGGGGACTTGGAAACTGGGAGTGCTTTCTCAGCTCTGGGGGTAGAGTCCAGGGCGAACGCTCCTCACTCCATCACCGCCCAGTGAGGACGCTGTCGGTCTTATGTGGACACCGCAACCCTGAGCTGCCTCCCCGCTGGCCCACTCATGCCTCAGTTTCCCCATCTCTTCCGCGAGCGGAAAAGAATCATCTCCTCAACAGCGGCTCAAATCTGCGCCTCATGCGGTCCGTTCCGGCCCCCGTAGCCAGCGTTGACCCTTCTTGACCCCCCGTAGCCTGAACTGACCTCGCCTCACCAGAGTCTTCCTCTGCCCGTCCCTCCCCCATCCCCATTCCTATTCGGGCCGCACCTACACAGCCGCTCCCGGGCTTGGCTCTGAGCACTGAAGCGGACCCAGGCGTCCATGACAGCGGCAGCCCCGGCTCGGCGGCCCCGCTCCCGCCCCACTTCCCGCCCCTAGTCACGCCTCCTGCGCGACCCAACGGTGCCTCGCGAGGGACAAACAACATCAGAAAAGAAAGCGAGTGGAGCTGGCCCTTAAAGCAGAATTTCAGGACGCGAAACGCCTGTCTTTGAGCCTGTCTGCGCGTTACTGTGCCTGTCTCTGTCAGTGCGTCCCCTTATGAGACGACCTCTACTCCCTAAGCACGCCTCCAGCGGCACATTCTTATTTAAATTTTCCGCACAAAGGGCGGGGCCTGCAGGGGGCGGGGCGGGGGCGTGCATGGGAGGGGAGGGGCGTGCAGGGGCGGGGCGGGGCGTGCAGGGGGCGGGGCGGGGCCTGCAGGGGGCGGGGCGAGAAAGCGCTGCAGTGATGTCCTCGCATAGGAGGCTGGGATAGGTGTGCGCCCGGCGGAACACCCTAAACACACTTGCACGCAGGCTCCAGCAGAATCCAGGGCTACAGGGACTAAAGAGGTCTAGGGCAGTAGAGGCCCGAAGCCCAGGCTGGTCTGTCCGAGGGAAAAGAAGAAAAAACGAAGCTTGGTACCAGATCTTCGTTCCCTGCAGGACCCTGAGAGTTAGACAAGTGACCTCCTCCAGAACATACGGAGAGTCTCCAGAAGCAGAGGCTTTAGGGAAGAAATTCGCAATAATCAGCTCAAGATCCTGAAAAGGAGGGCGAAGAATCAGTGGCCAAAGCTAACCGTTCCATACTCACACTTATCCTCCTATCTCCAGGCCACCATGTCTGCAGTAAACGGCACCCCTTGGGGGTCAGCAGCGGGGGAGGAGGTCTGGGCAGGATCAGGAGTGGAGGTGGAGGGCTCAGAGCTGCCCACCTTCTCGGCAGCAGCCAAGGTCCGAGTGGGAGTGACCATTGTGCTGTTTGTTTCTTCGGCTGGAGGGAACCTGGCCGTCCTGTGGTCAGTGACACGGCCGCAACCCAGCCAGCTCCGTCCCTCTCCGGTCAGGAGACTCTTCGCCCATTTAGCAGCCGCCGACTTACTAGTCACTTTTGTGGTTATGCCCCTAGATGCCACCTGGAATATCACCGTTCAGTGGCTGGCCGGGGACATCGCATGTCGGACACTCATGTTCCTGAAACTAATGGCCATGTATGCTGCAGCTTTCCTGCCTGTGGTCATTGGACTGGATCGCCAGGCAGCAGTACTCAATCCGCTTGGATCCCGCTCAGGTGTCAGGAAACTTCTGGGGGCAGCTTGGGGACTTAGTTTCCTGCTTGCCTTGCCCCAGGTGAGTGACCTGGGACTCAGGACCGGGGAGGACAGGAATTTGGGTCCATAGCATGAGTCAAAGGATGTGCTTGTGGGCCATCAGCCGTTAATCCTCAGGGAGAAAGCCTCTGCTCTCTTCCGGAAGATTATTTGCATGTTAATTTACATCTGTTAAGGGGCTGCCTTTTAAAAGCAGTATCCTACATCTGTGCCTCTTCCATTAGATCTGTTTTACTACACTTGGCTTCTACCTCTTTGCATCCACCCAATCTCACCTCCTTCAGATTGGGGCATAACATACATGGGGGTCTATTAAGAGAGTGAAGTCAGTAGTTTGGGTGAAACTCTGTGGTACATTCATTTATCCATTCAAAATATAATGTGCATCTCCAGGGCCACTCAAATGCTAAGGATAGAGCAGCAAAATCCTGCTTTCAAGAAATGTATAGACTAGTGCAAGAAACAAATAAATTAAGCAATGACAATACAGTGTGTATTCGAAAGTGTATGGTAAAGGAGCTAAAGACAACGGTGGGGAGAGGGTGTCTGATGCAGCCATGCAGTCAGGGAAAGTTTTCCAGAGATGTTAAAATTTGATTCTTCAGAGACAGGTATTAGACCAATTAATATAGGAGAAATGCTAGGGAGGATGGAGGATAAAGGATCTCAATGCTGCTAAAGCTGAGGACTAGAAAATGGTGAGTAATGAGCTGAGAGGGGAAGACGAGCTGGATCACAAATATTAAAATTGTACTTTATCCTGAGTGGACAGACACTATAGTAAAAAGAGTGACATAACCAAATTTGTGTTTTTTACTCTGACTTTATTGTGGAATGAGTGTTAAAATTGGAAACAAGTAGGCCGGGCGCGGTGGCTCAAGCCTGTAATCCCAGCACTGTGGGAGGCCGAGGCGGGTGGATCACGAGGTCAAGAGATCGAGACCATCCTGGTCAACATGGTGAAACCCCGTCTCTACTAAAACTACAAAAAATTAGCTGGGCATGGTGGCGTGTGCCTGTAATCCCAGCTACTCAGGAGGCTGAGGCAGGAGAATTGCCTGAACCCGGGAGGCGGAGGTTGCGGTGAGCCGAGATCGCGCCATTGCACTCCAGCCTGGGTGGGTAACAAGAGCGAAACTCCGTCTCAAAAAAAAAAAAAAAAAAAAAAAAAATTGGAAACAAGTGAGCTTCTGAACCTGAGTACTAGATTAATCAAATAAATCAAATACTGAAAAGGAACTTGAAATCTGGGAGGGGGGGCGGTGGGGAAAAGCTAAACACAAAGCAATTCCTCCAAAACAAAAACCACTATCACTATCAAGGGGTGGGTGTACAGGATATAGCAGCAAGTCTGAGACTGTAGGATTAGAATTATGTCTAGGAGGCCAAGAAGGGTCTAGGCTTTGTCTCTGGAATAATAATCCATTATACTTATTCAAGATTTGACTCTTATTTATCTCCTCCAATTATTAGAGATATAACTACTAGAAGTTAGTCTGACTATACTTCTAAGAACAAAGAAAGGCCCAGGTGGCTCAAGCCTGTAACCCCAGCATTTTGGAAGGCCAAGGCGGGCAGATCACCTGAAGTCAGGAGTTTGAGACCAACCTGACCAATGTGGTGAAACCCCGTCTCTACTAAAGATATAAAAATTAGCCTGGTGTGATGGCAAGCGCCTATAATCCAAACTACTCTGGAGGCTGAGGCATAAGAATTGTTTGAGCCTGGGAGGCAGAGGCTGGAGTAAGCCAAGACTGTACCACTGCACTCTGGCGTGACAGAGCCAGAATCTGTTGGGGAGCGGGGGAAAGAACAGAGAAAAATACCACTCATATGTTGCAAACAGGACCTCTACCAATCCGAGTGTTAAAAAGAAGCCTGTCGCTGTGGTGCCATTTACTATTAGGTTTGTTTATGTGAAGCAAATTTTAGATGGGGATTGAAAATTTGTTTCAGTTTGCCTGTTTTGCTTTGTTCTTTGTTGTTGTTGCTGTTGTTTTTCCTGACTCTGGGCTCTACTGCTAACTAGCTATATGATTTTGACTAAGCCACTTGAAATCCATGGGCCACAAGATGATGCAATGGGAAATGAATTTCATCCTTTCTTACGCCTTAAAATCAACAATAATTGTCATCTGTTTGTTTCAATGGCAAATTGGCCGTGACATGTATGATAACATGTGCAAAAGGTGATATTTTTTGGTTCCAAATTAGTATTCTTTTGGGTAAATTCTGCATTGCCTATATGCTGTTAATTGTAGTTAAAGTATTAGTGTCAATAAAATAAAAAATGTAATAATGTTATGTTAGTGTAGTGAGGGGGTATTAGGGATAGTTAGAAATTACTTATTTTGTAGGCTTAAGTTTCCAAGTTATCAGCAGTTGAAAGGAATGTTTCCACAGTACATGATAAATGGCAATAAAATAGGAGAAAGGAAAGATCAAAGCAAGGTTGTGGACCAAACTGTAAACCCAAGAGCTTTGATTATTTTTATCTCCTCACCATTTTCAAGTACTTCTTAGGCATAGCACAAAAACAGAAAACAAAACAACAATTTAGAAATATATGAATGCAAGAGATGGGAAGAGGAAAGACCATTTCCCAACTAGCTCAGAGTAGCCTGATCATAACTCCAAACAGTTCACAAAATTCTGTCTTAGGATCAAACTATTCACCTGTCCTAAATGTCCCTCATGCCTGTTAAAATCACTTTCCCAAATGCCTTGTATCTAGGAATCTGACACCTACTGAGCTTACCTGTAATCAAGTTAACAGTGACTCAATCTGCATTACTGGAACCCAGACACTTGAATCTCGTAGCTCTAAACTGAAATCGTTTTTACCGATTCAATTGGAAAACCCAGTAATTTAACAGAACCGGGGGGGGGGTGCAGCCAATAGCATTTGGAAAATGTTGTATTTTATTATTTAACGTTATTTCACCATTATAGTTACTGCAGATAAGACTATTACTACTGCTGGGCATGGTGGCTCACGCCCGTAATCCTAGCACTTTCGGAGGCCGAGGTGGGTGGATCACCTGAGGTCAGGCGTTCAAGACCAGTCTGGCCATCATGGTGAAACCCCATCTTAAAAAAAAAAAGACTATTACTACTAAAGGTCACTTCAGAGTAGCTGCAAAATGGCCTGGAGTTTTGGCAGCACCCATTTTACACGATATTTCTTTTCCCACAAAATAAGAGACATATCAGAAAAATCATTTCATCTAAAAATATGAGTAAGGTGGTAGTAATATCATCCCTTATAAAGTACAATGTCAGAATAATACTGGAGAAGGCGGTATTGTTTTAAGTTCTAAGATTTAACAAACTTACTGCTCAGCATCATATTCGAGCCTGCGGAAGATAGGCACTTTCAAGATACATTTCCAACCTCTTTAAGGTGGCACCATGGATGAACTGTTTCTCAGCACTGTGCTGCTTCACTTGGAATTAAGGATGAATTGGGAGGAGATAGTATGACATAGGTGGGTAGGGTGGGTGATGAGGGGAACCGGTTCTCATAGTCCTCAACTCCCCTCCAGCTGTTCCTGTTCCACACCGTCCACCGAGCTGGTCCAGTTCCCTTCACTCAGTGTGCCACCAAAGGCAGCTTCAAGGCTCGATGGCAAGAGACCACCTATAACCTCTTCACTTTCTGCTGCCTCTTTCTGCTGCCACTGACTGCTATGGCCATCTGCTATAGCCGAATTGTGCTCAGTGTGTCCAGCCCCCAGACAAGGAAGGGGAGCCATGGTGAGAATCCCAATTTCCAGGCCTCAATCCTTACCACTAGACCTGTTGCCTCTTGTCTACCCACCTAATAGCTAGCTACCAGTCACTAAACCAAAGTGAGATCTTCACCGTGTCTAGTGCCTGATGCTGGGGATGATTTTGTTGAACCCCTTCAATTATAAATAGCTAAGCTGAGTTAGCTGGACAAGTACTAGGGAGGCACTCAGTATTATTTATTTATTTATTTATTTTTTTGAGGTGGTTTTGCTCTTGTTAACCCAGACTGGAGTGCAATGGCGCTATCTTGGCTTACCACCGCAACCTCCGCCTCCTGGGTTCAAGCAATTCTCCTGTCTCAACCTCCTGAGTAGCTGGGACTACAGGCATGCACCACCATGCCCAGCTAATTTTTGTATTTTTAGTAGAGACGGGGTTTCACCATGTTGACTGGGATAGTCTCAATTTCTTGATCTCGTGATCTACCTGCCTCGGCCTCCCAAAATGCTGGGATTATAGGCGTGAGCCACTGTGACAGGCCTATTTATTCTTGCACACAATCAAATCTTAAAGTAGACTTGGTGCCTTCACATTTCTATCATAATCCCTGGGGGTAAGAGATCACAGAGTCCCAGGTTGGGAAGGGGAAGAGGATTTGCAGCATCCTCCTCCTTGTAGGGTGCAAGTTGTCTTCACCAGTTATGCCCCTCCATCAATTCACCCTATACTCGGTTCAGAAACTGAGTGTCTAAATTACAGAATATTTTCTAAATTCCTAGCCCCTGCTGGTGAATTTGCCCTCCGCCGCTCCTTTGACAGTCGTCCCCGTGTTCGTCTCCGGGCCCTGAGACTGGCCCTGCTTGTCTTGCTGACCTTCATCCTCTGCTGGACACCTTATTACCTACTAGGTCTGTGGTACTGGTTCTCCCCGAGCATGCTAACTGAAGTCCCTCCCAGCCTCAGCCACATCCTTTTCCTCTTTGGCCTCCTCAATGCTCCTTTGGATCCTCTCCTCTATGGGGCCTTCACCCTTGGCTGCCGCAGAGGGCACCAAGAACTTAGTATGGACTCTTCTAGGGAAGAAGGGTCTAGGAGAATGCTCCAACAGGAGATTCAAGCCCTTGGACAAATGGAAGTACAAAAAACTGTGACATCAAGAAAGGCAGGAGAAACAAAAGACGTTTCTATAACATCTATCTGATCCTAACACAGTATATAGAAACAGAATAATAATTCTTCAATACCATAAGATCATAACATCTCAATTTCCTGCTCTCCTAGTTCCCCCCAAAAAGAAATAATGAGCAGTGTCTCCACTTTAAACCCTGCCTGACCTTGAGACTATGTCTAATACAGAAACACACAACTAGCCTGGACAAAACAGCAAGACCCCATCTCTACAGAAATATTAAAAGTTTAGCCAGGCATGGTGGCATGTGCCTGTAACCCCAGCTACTTGGGAGGGTGAGGCAGAAGGACGGCTTGAGCCCAGGAATTTGAAGCTTCACTGAGCTATGATCACGCAGCTGCCCTCCAGCCTGGACAACACAGCAAGACTCTACCTCAAAAAAAGAAAAAAAAAAAAAAAAAAAAAAAAAAAGAAACACATACAGTTCAGTCCCTAGAAGTATCTTCACAATGGTCCATACTGCCTTACTATGCTTTAGAACTTTTAATTTTAGGACAGGAAAATAACATTAAATATAGAAAACAAAAATTGAACATTTATTCGCCACTCAAAAGAAATACTATGCATATAGGGGAAGAGATTAAATATAAACACAGCAAGTTCCACCCCAGTCCTGTTTGTCCAAGGCTGCATGGTCAAATGGAATCTTGAAGAGAACAGCTGGACAACAGACGACCCGTCAGCGACGTCTCCGGTCTGGACTTCTGCTGCGTCTTCGGCCACCTCTGGGGAAAAAAGCAGCAGGGAGAAAAGTCCATTAGAGAGACATAATACTACGCCCTCATTCTGTTTCATTCGTATTCCCTTCACCCAAACAGTGTTTGCCCTCTTCATTTTACCTCCTCTTGCCTTTTGGTGGACCCCGAACAAAACACCAGTCAACGCTGATTGGCTGTCCCATCAAATCTTGGCCATTGAGTCCCTCCATAGCAGCCTGGGCCTCCTTGTATGTTTCATACTCAACTAGAGTATACCCCTGGGGAAAGTGAAAAGACAGATATGAAAACCCTCCTATTTCCCCAAGCATCACTGAGTATCCTTTTCCTCAAATTCAAACTCAGAAAAACCTATAAACTTTAAACAATGAATGTACATCATATATCTCTAATGTATATATTCAACATGTCTGTTTATGTCTCTTCTGTGTCTGATAAAACATGGATTTCCAATGTCATTTTATTTCAACTTTGCTCCAACTACGTCAAACACAGAACTACCAATACTAAGAGTTATGAAAGAAGAGAGGCAATGAAGTGTCACTTCATTGGATACCTTCAGATATCCTGTTCGCCTGTCGAGGTTGAGGTGAATGTTTTTAATTTCCCCATATTCTGCGAATTTGTCGTGTATATCTTCTTCAGTGGCTTCTTCGTGGACTCCAGTAACAAAGAGAATCCAGCCTTCAACAGCTGTTGGGGGACGGAGGGAAGTTGTATAAGTACATGAGAGAAACACTTCAAGCAGGCTCACAGAAATGGAGTGAGTGCGGATTTAGATTGTTTTCGTTTTTGAGATGGAGTCTTGCTCTGTCACCAGGCTGGAGTGCAGTGGCGCAATCTCTGCTCACTGAATCTCCACTTCCTGGGTTCAAGCGCTTCCCCTGCCTCAGCCTCCCGAGTAGCTGGGACTAAAGGCGTTCACTACCACGCCTGGCTAATTTTTTGTATTTTAGTGGAGACGGTGTTTCACCAGGTTGGCCAGGATGGTCTCGATCTCTTGATCTCATAATCCAGCCGCCTCGGCCTCCCAAAGTGCTGGAATTACAGGTGTGAGCCCACTGCGCCCGGCCAGGGATTGTTTAAACTATCTTTGAATCCATTCCTACTACATTTAACTATTTTATTGGTTTCTAACTACCATAAACACGGATAACTCACAGGTTCCGTTATTACTCACAGCGTTGTGGTCCGGGTTCATCGCCATCCTGCTCCACGCTGTCATAATCCTCACGCATCCGCGCTCGGGACCCCTCTTCTATAAGGGACAGACACGAGATCACCGAAACCTCCTCCTTTCTCCCATTGTTCCTATGAGTTGGGTGGGGACTCCAAAACCCGCAGCTCTACCCTACTTTGCCCACACTCACCGGAGCCAAAGCCGCGGCCCTTCCGTTTCTTCGCTTTTTCTTTTAGTTTGTGAATGCTCTCTGGAGCCCCAGAAGAGAAAAGAGTAAGTAACCATGACAGTCATTTGTAACAACTGTCTCTTTCCCAAGACACTATCTGCAATCCGACCCAAACCGCCTCCAGTCTCAGTCCCTTCCCGGTCCCGCCCCCCCTTCTCCTAAAGGGGCGGAGTCTCTATTCCACCCAAGACCCAGTTCACCGATTCCCATCCTCACAACCGGGGACAAAAGAGAGTAAATTTTCCTATCACAGCCTTCTCTCGCACCTTCCCCGCTTCCCGCAGCCGCCTCCACTGTCCTCACCGTCCCCATCCTCATCCATGGCGAAATCTTCGCCCCCGGCCTCGTGAAGATCTAGCACGTCCGCCATCTTGCCTTCGATGGAGATCTCGTCTGTGCCGCTCAGACACTAGGCACCTCGGGAAACTGTCGCAGAGGGGAAAGGTCGCCAGTGAAGCTGACCAATCAAAGGCTAACTCTAAATCCCGCCCTTGGCACGGTAAAAATACGCAATGGGGGCGGGCCTAGTTCGGAAAGATGCCGGAAGTGTTTCTGTGGCCATCTTGAGCAGGTCGCGAGCTAAATGCTGCCATGCTGGGAGGTACAGATTACAAGGGTCAGTTGCTTCCTCTTAGCGGCGGCAGCTGTTGAGAAATACTGTACTATTCACAGTGAGGACCGGCGTAATTTCCATATTAGAGGGCTTCATCCCAAACCGGGAAATGGCAATTGAAGAAACTTTTCTTTCAAAAATTCCAGGCCTGTACCCTATTCCGAGGCAGCGTGCTGTATGATAGGAGCGTTTTTAAAAAATAGTTTGATAGCAGTGCGGGCACAAATAGCTGCTTCTGGAACATATTGCAGCACCGAATTTCTCTTCAAGAAACTAACAGACCTGGTTGCAATACGATTGGTGAGACAGATATCAGTTTTTGTTTTTTTAACTCTCTACCTGTAATCCCAGCTACTCAGGGGGCTGAGCCAGGAGAATCGCTTGAACCCGGATGGTGGAGTTTTGCAGTGAGCCGAGATCGCTGCACTACAGCTTGGGTGACAGAGCGAGACTCCGTATCAAAAATAAATAAATAAATAAAAATAAAATAAAACTCCCTTAATACTTCTGGGAATTACTCGTATTGTCTTTTAAATTATATAAATTATGGCCTTCAGCAAAATAGGGGCTTTATCTTTTTTTTCAGGATGGTACAGGTATTTCACGTTTACAAACCTCAGATTTGAAACAGTGCCCCCCCCAAATTCTGGAATCCTGATGTAAACCTTAAAAAGTAGTGGACTGGATTCACTTATTTATGAATGCCTGCATGTATGTCTAATAGTAAAGGAGTTGCTGGCAATAAAAGAGCAAATAATTACATTATCAACACTTTATGAGAGTGATAATTGCTGTCATAAAGTGCTGTGGCAGTACAACGAAAGTTTCTAGAACTGGAAGAACTTCGGGTTTCAACTGGACCTTTGAGGCTAAGTAGTTTTCCAGGCAAAGAAGCTGTATGGAGATTAGGAGACCCTTCTATGGGAAAACTGAAAGTTAAAAGTGAGAAAGAGGGCTGGATGCACTGGCTCATGCCTGTAATCCCAGCACTCTGGGAAGCGGAGGCTGTTGGATCACCTGAGGTCAGGCGTTTGAGAGCAGCCTGGCAAACATGGTGAAACCCCATCTCTACTAAAAATACAAAAATTAACTGAAGGCATGGTGGAATGCGCCCGTAATCCCGGCTACTCGGGAGGCTGAGGCAGGAGAATCATTTGAACCCGGGGGAGGTTGCAAGCGAGCTGAGATCTCGCCACTGCACTCCAGCTTGGGTGGCAGACTGAGACTCCGTCTCCAAAAAAAAAAAAAAAAAATAGAAAGAAAAAGAATAAAATGAAAAATAAAATTTAAAAAGCGATTAGGAGACACTAATGCATTTTTCACAGTAGGTAGTGTGAGTAGTGTGGTCATCTTAAAAATCAGTGTGGTTACATACCTACTAACCAACCCCCCACCCCCACTTTTTCTTTGAGACAGAGTCTTGCTCTGTCACCCAGACTGGAGTGTAGTGGTGCAGTCTTGTCTCGCTGCAACTTCAACTTTTTGCAACCTCCGCCTCCTGGGTTCAAGGGATTCTCCTGCCTCAGCCTCCTGACTAGCTGGGAATACAGGCGCCTGCCACCACATCGGGCTAATTTTCATATTTTTAGTAGAGACGGGGTTTCACGATGTTGGCCAGGATGGTCTCGATCTCCTGACCTCATGATCTGCCCACCTCAGCCTCCCAAAGTGCTGGGATTACAGGCGTGAGCCACTGCTCTGAGCCAAAAAACCTTTTTGTTAGAGGGGTTCTGGGTATATTGCCCAGGCTGGCCTTCGAAACTCTTGGGCACAAAGGATCCTCTGGCCTCCCAAGCAGCTGGGACTACAGGCATGTAACCCTGCACCTGGCTCTTTCCTTGGCTTTTTGCTGCACTTAGAATAAAAATTCAAACTCACACAGCCTATTTGGCCTATGTCTTCAACCTGTTCAACCACTATTCTTCTCTGTTGCCCATTAAGCTTGCCCTACACTTTCACTCAACTATGGTGTGCTCTTTCTTATCCCAGGGCTTTTGCAACTTTTTAAAAAATTTGAGATGGAGTCTTGCTCTCTTGCCCAGACTTGAGTGCAGTGATGTGATCATGCCTCACTGCAGCCTCTGCCTCCTGGGTTCAAGCTTTCTCCTGCCTCAGCCTCCTGAGTAGCTGGGACTACAGGCGTACACCACTACAGCTAGCTAATTTTTGTCTTTTTAGTAGAGATGGGGTTTCTCCCTGTTGGTCAGGCTGGTCTTGAACTCCTGACCTCAGGTGATCTAACAGTCTCAGCCTTCCAAAGTGCTGGGATTACAGGCATGAACCACCATGCCCACCTCTAACTTGTTTATTGTCTGTTTTTCCCATTAGAATGTAATCCTTATGGCAGAGATAGTTATTTACAACTAAAATCCCCAAAGTTTAGACCAGTGTCTGGCTCATGATAGACATTTGGTACTTACTGAATGAATATTAGAATAGCAAGAAATTCTGTCTGCCTGATGTTATGTGACTGAAAAATAAAGCTGAAAATACAGTTTAGGGTCTGCTATGCCAAGGATTTTGAAATTTATCCTATAAGCAAGAAATTTACCTACTTCAGATTTGAGTATTCATGGTTTTTAATATTTGCAAATAGTCCCCATACTAATTTTTGCTTATTTTCCCTTAGACTGACTTTAAACATAAATTTACACTGAATAAAAAAATCAATATTTTTCTATTACAAATTTAGATAAAACCATAATTATTAAAAACTGTTTGCCGGGCAGGCACGGTGGCTCACACCTGTAATCCCAGCACTTTGGGATCTCTAAACAGGTGTATCACAACGTCAGGGGTTCAAGACCAGACTGGCCAATATGGTGAAACCCCATCTCTACTGAAAAATACAAACATTAGCTGAGCATGGTGGCTTGTGACTGTAATCCCAGCTACTTGGGAGGCTGAGGTAGGAGAATTACTTGAACCAGGAGCCAGGAAGCGGAGGTTGCAGTGAGCCAAGATCGTGCCACTGCACTCTACCTGGGCTACACAGCGAGACTCCATCTCAAAAACAAAAACTGTTTGCCCATCTATCATCTAAAATAATCCCAGGAACACATATAAAACTGGTAAATGGTAGGCTGGGCATTGTAGCTCACGTCTGTAATGCCAGCGCTTTGGGAGGCCAGGGTGGGTGAATAAGTGGGTGAATAAGCTTGAGTTCAGGAGTTCAAGACCAGGCTGGGCAACATAGCAAGACCCTATCTCTACAAAAAGAAAAAATTAGTTGGGTGTGGTGGTGTGTGCAGAGTAGTCCCAGCTACTCTGAAGGTTAAGGTGGGAGGATCCCTTGAGCCTGGGGGGTGGAGTTGCAGTGAGCCAAAATCACGCCACTGCATTCTGGCCTGGCCATTACAGTGAGACCCTGTCTCAAAAAAAAAAAAAAAAAAAACTTTGGGAAATGCTGCTAAAGGTAAATATAGCTAAGTGATGGCTTAAGCAAGGGAGTGTCACAATCATAAGTATTTTATAAATAAATACGACAGTAGTAAGAATTACAATATATAAAGAAAAAAAAGATATACAACAGCAGTATGGAGGATGTTAAGATCAGAGGTGAAAACCAGCTAGGAAGCTATAGTAGTGATCCAGTCTGGAGATGAGAAAGGACCGAATCTAAACTAAGGCAGTAAATATGGACAAAACATATCAGGAAGTAGGCCAGGCGCAGTGGCTCACACCTGTAATCCCAGCACTTTGGGAGGTCAAGGCGGGCGGATCACCTGAGGTCAGGAGTTTGAGAGCAGCCTGGCCAACATGGTGAAACCCCATCTCTGCTAAAAATACAAAAATTTGCCAGCTGTGGTGCTGGGTGCCTGTAATCCCAGCTACTAGGGAGGCTGAGGCAAGAGAATCGCTTGAACCCGGGAGGTAGAGGTTGTAGTGAGCTGAGATTCCACCATTGCACTACAGCCTGGGCGAGAAAAGCAAAACTCTGTCTCAAAAAAATAAATAAATAAATAATATATATATATATATATATATATACACACACACACACACACACACACACACATATATACACACACACATATATATATACACACATATATATATGTATATTAGGAGATTAGAGGGCAGGGTGGGAAAAAAAGGAGATTAGGAGGTAGACTCAACAGCGACTGATTAGATTATGGTAGAGAAGAGTTGAGGGTGGGTCTGAGGTGTGTGGCTTATGTAACAGGGTAGATGATAATTCTAATAATAGATCTAGAGAGTCAAAGAGGAATGAGTATGGAGAAATAGATTTTATCCTGGATATGTTTCAACATGCTTTTGTCATATTCAGGTGGCCATGTCTAGTATGTGGAAAACAGATGTAAAAGCTCATAACAGGTTGGGGAAGAAGAAATAGATTTGAGACTCATGTGTATAGTGGAATTGAAGCCACCATAGTGGATGAGATTGCCAGTAGAGTGGGTAGACCTTGAGGAGAAAGGGCCAAGGACAAAGTCCAGGTTAAAGGTCTGGAGAAAGGGAGGCAGGCCGCCTTTCCCCAGCTCTACAATCATTTCTACCACCCCAGAAATGCTAATACAAATTCTTATTTAGTATATATGTAAAAGGACAGGGATGTTTTAGAACTTCTCTGATATATACATCTCAAGAAAGTGTCAGTCTGGCTCACTAGACAAAAATCTATTTTTAATTGTATAAAATTATACATATAAAATACATAGCATGTACTAAGAAGATGAGTAAAATCTTTGACACCAAAAGTGGACAGATCAGGAAACAATTTTTCTCAAGCTGTCTGGGGATCTTACTGGTTGGTATTTGAGGAAAATAATAAATCCAGGAAGTACAAGGGCAATTCTTCCCACAACTCACAGCGCTTAACCCACACTTCTTCTCAGAGAAAGGAGCACCGGAGAAACTGGATCGTTGATGAGTGCAGGTTATAAATATCAATACAAACACACACACCTGGTATGTCTAGCAGTTTTTACCTTTAGTCCAACCCAACATGTGTTTCATGGAATACAAAGATGGGACTTCAGAACTCTAGCTCTCTTCTGATTGGTAAGAAAAAAAAAATGATGAGGCCTGGAGAATTCAAGGAAGCCTGTTTCAAGCCCCAATAAAATTGTAGCTGGATTCCTTACCTCTAATCCCATAGTACTCGTCACCAACATGATTTCAAAAGCAAGAAGTTGCCTTTCATCTTGCCTCTATCAAATCCAAAAGAGCAAATTATGGCCTCGCTCCTAATCTATTTCTTTTTGTTGTTGTTACACTTGAACTTTCTGTTTGGAACCTAATCTGTTTCTAAAAGTAAAGTCTGTATAATTGTTAAGTGGAAAGTCCAATTGCAGGAAAACTAAGCTTCCCACACTCAGTTTAGAAACTACATGGAAAAATAATATAGTATAAAAGAGGTGACAGAAACAAGGGGGCAATGTATATTAGAGACGTCCAAAAACTTCTCCGAAAGGAACTACTTTAGCTGCTGTACTCCAGTTTGTTTCGCTCTTATGTCACCCAGGAGGGAGGTGGGGAAGAATGGTATTAAAGACACAAATAGGCCGGGCACGGTGGCTCACGCCTGTAATCCCAGCACTTCGGGAGGCCAAGGCAGGTGGATTACTTGATGTCAGGAGTTCAAAACCAGCCTGGCCAACATGGTAAAACCCTGTCTCTACTAAAAATACAAAATGTAGCTGGGCATGGTGGCATGTGCCTGTAATCCCCACTACTTGGGAGGCTGAGGCAGGAAAATCACTTGAACCTGGGAGGTGGAGGTTACAGTGAGCTGAGATCATGCCATTGCACTCCAGTCCGAGTAACAGTGCAAGACTCTGTATCCAGAAAAAAAAAAAAAAACAACCACACAAATAGCTGATCATTGATTCTCTTTCCCTAACTGCAGCCTCCCAAGGTATCAATTAGGAAGTGCCAAAATACTAAAGTCTCATTTAATTTTTCTGATGAACTCATGTTAATGTAGAAGAAGAAGAAAGAAAAGAGAGAAAACAAATGAGAATCTAAGGTAGTAAACAGCAGCAACTTAGCAGGAATATGGAGAACATATCCTCCAAATAGGACTGATAACGCTTCCAGAAAATAAAATGTTGGGTGAAGGAAAATATGAAAATATGTTTTACCTTCTACTAATATCTGCAGGCAGGAAGGTCTAAACACAGGGTTTAACTAAGCTGGGTGAGGAGGGGAGATGTGCAGAAGAAATACTGAAAGATAATCAGTTTCAAACAAAACCCCCATCTTACTGTAGAGTATATATCCAGAAATCTAGACTACTAGTATGGTATACAGATGCCCTAGAAGGCAGTTAGGTAGTAAACTCCCATGAATTGTTTGTAATTTACCTTGTCCCTGGGCAGTTTCTTAGGAATGGTTTCAGAAGCAAGGTCTCTTCTTCCTTCAGAATAATAAGGTAGGGAAGCCTCAAAACAAAGCGGCATTTGGAGGCAGAGAAGGAATAAGGTACTGGTGGGAGGAAAGGGATACCAAGCAGGTTCAGTATCTTCATACTTGTACCCTGTTTGAGCCCAAGAGGAAGCAGGAATGACAGTGAGGATGGGTCACATAATCCTTATCCTGATATTTGAAAAGAGGGAGACATGAACACTGAGTTAATCTTGTAGTGCTACTGAAATGACTACAGAGGTAATTTGGAAGTTTAAGAGCTAACAGAGCTTCAAAGACAACCTGCTCTTTCTTGTAAAGTGGAGTAAAGATGTTGCAAATAAAACCGCATCCAAAAACTGGAAGTAAGAAAAGGGATCTCTTAGCAAATAGGAATCTAGGTGTAGAATTTATACATACATATATATATATATATATATATATATATATTTAAGTATAAAATTGAGAAAGTATGTACAAAAAATCATCCTAAATCTTAGAAAGGAGACATACAAAAAAGGCTGTGGAAAGGATGGCGAGTATGCGGGTGGATGCCTAGCAGTTGGAAGAATGCATATTGCCCAACTGCCCAGCAGCCAGCATGAGAATATCTTTCTTCTCCTTGTGGAAGCGCAGCTCCTTGCCTGCCAGTCGAGCTTCATCCAGCTCCCGCTCAGTGGAGGCCAGCTCTCTAGACAGTGCCCCTGGCACACTCTGCTCCCGGCTCACCCAGTCCAAGGCCATTTGGTGGCGAATATCATCATCCAGGGCCCGGTGTGAATAATGAGCCAACACCTCCTAGTAGGGGAGGGGAATGTGAACATTATTGAGAAGGTAAATATTCATGTCATACCACACTGACCCAACTGGGACTAGGAACTCTTAGCTTTAGAGACCTAACTGAGGTCAGCACCTGAGTCCTTCAAGGAGATTCTTAAAGGAAACTTCCTAGTGGGAGAAGCAAGATAGACAATCACAGCTAAGATTTAAACAGGAAAGATTATAGGAATGAAGAGGCTACTTAGGTAAGGCTTTCAATATTCTCAACAGTAGGTCACTGTAGACCTTATTTGTAACATAGTAACACCTTAAAAGAGTACTGACAGATTCTGCTCCCCCCATTCGCCCCCACTCATAAACTCTTACCTGCCGAGAGCATTGTCTTTCTCTCATGGCCTTAAGGCTGCCATTCCAGTGTAGCAGTTGAAAAACTGTCATTAGCTCCTGGGGGAAGAGGATAGGAAGTACCAGGACAGTGATTTTTTTTTTTTTTTAAACGGGGTTTCACCATGTTGGTCAGGCTGGTCTTGAACTCCCGACCTCAGGTGATCCGCCCGCCTTGGCACCCAAAGTGCTTGGATTACAAGCATGAGCCACCACACCCAGCCTAGGACAGTGATTGTATATTGGGAGGTTGCATCAGAATTACACGGGAAACCTTTTAGAAAATGGATTTGTAGAAGCATCTCATCACTAACTCTGATAGGCCTTTGGGAAAGGGAAAATATTTATTTATTTATTTATTTACTTATCTATTTGAGACAGAGACTTGCTTTGTCACCCAGGCTGGACTGTAGTGGTGCAGTCTCAGCTCACTGCAACCTCTCCTTCCTGGGTTCAGGCAATTCTCCTGCCTCAGCCTCCCAAGTAGCTGGGACTACAGACATGTGCCATCATACCCAGCTAATTTTTGTATTTTTAGTAGAGCTGGAGCTTTGCCATGTTGGCCAGGCTGGTCTCAAACTCCTGGTTTCAAGTGATCCACCCAACTCAGCCTCCCAACGTGCTGGGATTACAGGAGTGAGCCACCGCGCCCGGCCAGGATTTGAAAAATAGTGTAACAACTTTCTTTCCTTTCCAGTATGGCAGAGTTAGGAATTAGTAGGAGGCATTATATATTATAGTAGCAGGCTGACTTTGTTATTAGAGCCAGGAAGTACATGGGAAAGTACCTGGAACTCCAACATTGATTTGCCCTTGTTGGATTCCAGCATGAATCGGAAGGCACCAATCCCTGTATTTGGGTTGTCAGCTTCCTCCCTGTTGCCCTGGTAGTAGAAGAACAGAAAAGACAAATAGATTTTCAAACAGGATTATCATCTTCAGTAGCATTGTCCAAGAGAAATATAATGCAAGCGGCCGGACACAGTGGCTCACGCCTGTAATCCCAGCACTTTGGGAGGCTGAGGCGAATGGATGACCTGAGGTTGGGAGTTCAAGATCAGCCTGAGCGACATGGAGAAACCCCATTTCTACTAAAAAATACAAAAATTAGCCAGGCATGGTGGCGCATGCCTGTAGTTCCAGCTACTCGGGAGACTGAGGTAGGAGAATTGCTTGAACCTGGAAGGCGGAGGTTGCAGTGAGCTGAGATCGTGCCATTGCACTCCAGCCTGGGCAACAAGAGCAAGACTCAGTCTCCAAAAAAAAAAAAAAAAAAGGCATGCGAAACCCACATATTTAACTTAAAATTTTATCTCTGCCACATAAAGTAAAAATAAAGAGGTAAAGATTTTTTAAAAATTAAAAAAATAAATAAATAAAATAAAGAGGTAAGTCTGGGTGCAGTGGCTCAGGCCTGTAATCTCAGCACCGTGGGAGACCAAGGTGGGTGGATCACTTGAGGTCAAGAGTTCGAGACCAGCCTGGTCAACATGGTGAAACTGCCATCTCTACTAAAAATATAAAAATTAGCCAGGCGTGGTGGTGGGTGTTGTAAATCCCAGCTACTCAGGAGGCTTAGGCAGGAGAATCACTTGAACCTGGGAGGCAGAGATTACAGAGATCGGGCCACTGTACTCCAGCCTGGATGACAGTGTGAGACTCTGTCTCAAAAAAAAACAGGTAAAATTAATTTTATTAATTAAAATTAATTTTAATAATGTATCTTATTTAACCCAGTATGTTCAAACTATTATTTTTCAACTGTAGTCAGTATAAACATTATTAATTAATGAAATATTTTATATTCTTGTACTGAGTTTCTTAAATCTGGTATAACTGTGAGAAATTCTGGGTAGCAGTGTGGTCTTCTGGACATTTGCCTATTGTGTCTTCTATTAGTTATGTAACCCTGCAGGGTTACAATTAAGACACACTGCCCTGCATTCAAGCCTAATATGTATAAAAACCAATACAGCATAGAAGTTAAGAGCATGGAGTGGAGCTCCTACAAATAGTGTGGGATTGGTAAAGTCATTTAACCTCTCTGTTCTGCAGTTTCCTCATGTGTAAGATGGGGATAATCATAGAGCTACCTTAAAGGATTGTTTTGAGAATTAAATAAAATTTAAGTTAAAAATAAAAATTTGTTTGTTTTTGAGATGGAGTCTCACTCTCACTCTGTCGCCCAGGATGGTGTGCAGTGGTGTGATCTCAGCTCACTGCAACCTCTGCCTCCTGGGTTCAGGCAACTCTCCTGCCTCAGCCTCCCAAGTAGCTAGGATTATAGGCATGCACCACCCTGCTCAGCTAATTTTTGTATTTTTAGTAGAGATGGGTTTCACCATGTTGGCCAGGCTGGTCCTGAACCCCTGACCTCAGGTGATCCGCCCGCCTTGGCCTCTCAAAGTGCTGGGATTACAGGCGTGAGCCACCGCGCCCAGCCCAGAATTTACATTGTATTAGGTATTATAAGTAATCTAGAGATGATTTAAAGCATTCATTTGGGAGGATGTGCATAGGTTATATGCAAATACTGTACTTTTTTTTTTTTTGAGACTGTCTTGTTCTGTCTGTCACCCTGGCTGGAGTACAGTGGTGCAGACATGGCTCACTGCAGCCTCGACGTCCCCGGGATCAAGTGATCCTCCCTCCTCAACCTCGCAAGTAGCTGGGATCACAGTCAAGTGCCTCCATACCTGGCTAATTATTTTATTTAATTTTTGTAAAGATGGAGTCCCCTTATGTTGCCCAGGCTGTACTGTGCTATTTTATATGAAGGACTTGAGTATCCTTGGGTTTAGGTATCCCTGGAAGGTCCTGGAACCAATTCCACACAGATCCCAAAGGACGACTACAGAACCATTTTTTTTTTTTTTTTTTTTTGAGATGAAGTCTCACTATGCTGCTCAGATTGGAGTGCAGGGTACAATCTCAGTTCACTGCAACCTCTGCCTCCTGGGTTCAAGTGATTTTTCTGCCTCAGCTTCCCAACTAGCTGGGACTACAAGCTAGGTACAGCACTACCACAGCTGGCTAATTTTTGTATTTTTTAGTAGAGACGAGGTTTTACCATATTGGCCAGGCTGGTCTCAAACTCCTGACCTCGTGATCCACCCGCCTCAGCCTCCCAAAGTGCTAGGATTATAGGCATGAGCCACCGCGCTCAGCCAGGAACCATAATTTCTTTTTTCTTTTTTTTGAGACAGTGTCTTACTTTGCCACCCAGGCTGGAATGTAGTAGCGCAATCTTGGCTCACTGCAGGCTTGACCTCCTGGTCTCAAGCGATACTCCCGCCTCAGACCCCCAAGTAGCTGGGACTACAGGTGCATGCCGCCATGCCCAGCTAATTGTGTTTTTGGTAGAGATAGAGTTTCGCCATGTTGCCCAGACCAGTCTCCAACTCCTGAGCTCAGGTAATCTGCCTGCCTCAGCCCCCAAAGTGCTACAATTACAGGTGCGAGCCACCACACTCAGCCTAGAACCATAATTTCAATAACAATTTATTTATTTATTTATTTATTGAGATGGAGTTTCACTCTTGTCATGTAGGCGGAGTGCAATGGCGCAATCTTGGCTTACTGCAACCTCTGCTTCCCGGTTCAAGTGATTCTCCTGCCTCAGCCTCCCGAGTAGCTGGGATTACAGCCACCTGCCACCACACTGGGCTAATTTTTATATTTTTAGTAGAGACAGGATTTCCCCATGTTGGCCAGGCTGGTCTTGAACTCCTGACCTCAGGCGATCGCCCAACTTAGCCTCCCAAGGTACTGGGATTACAGGCATGAGCCACTGCACCTGGTCAACTATGAATTTAGAGCCCATGATCATATAAATACTGCATATCCTGCTTTCCATAATCCACTGTGTCTTTTTTTTCTTTTTTTTTTTTGAGACAGAGTCCCACTTTGTTGCCCATGATGGAGTGCAATGGCATGATCTCGGCTCACTGCAACCTCTGTCACCCAGGTTCAAGCAATTCTCATCCTTCAGCCCTCTGAGTATCTGGCATTACACCACGAATGTGCCACAACGCCTGGCTAATTTTTGTATTTTTTCTTTTTCTTTTTTTTTTTTTTTGAGACTGAGTCTTGGTCTGTTGCCCAGACTGGAGTGCAGTGGCAGAATTTAGGCTCACTGCAACCTCTGCTTCCCAGGTTCAAGCAATTCTCCCATCTCAGCCTCCTGAGTAGCTGGGACTACAGGCGTGCACCACCATGCCCAGCTAATTTTTGTACTTTTAGAAGAGACGGGGTTTTACCATGTTGGTCAGGCTGGTCTTGAACTCCTGACATCAAGTGATCCACCCACCTCGGCCTCCCAAAGTGCTGTGATTACAGGCGTGAGTCACTGTGCTCGGCCAGTTTTTATATTTTTAGTTTGAGATGGGGTTTCGCCATGTTGGCTAGGCTGGTCTCAAACTCCTGACCTCAAGCAATCTGCTTGCATCTGCCTCCCAATGTGCTGGGATTACAAGCATGAGCCATCGCGCCTGGCCCTGATTCATTTTATAATACTATTAGTTGACCTAAAAGTAGCAAATATACTTTCCAAAAAATTTTACTTGGCTTTTTCTTTTTTTATTTGGTTTGGATTAATATAAAAATGTTTTTATTCCCTGCAGATACTGTTGATTGGGGCAAAGAATAATGGGAGAAAAACGGCTGGGTCCTAAATAACAGAGGGAAACCAACTGTTGATAAAGTGTTCAACAACTAATCCACAAAGCAGATAACTGACGTAATTTAGTATATGTGATTAGTTTTTCTTTTTTTTTTTTTTTTTTTTTGAGGCAGAGTCTTACTCTGTTGCTCAGGCTGGAGTGCAATGGCACGATCTTGGCTCGCTGCAACCTCTGCCACCCGGGTTCAAATAGTTCTTTTGCCTCAGCCTCCTGAGTAGCTGGGATTACAGGTGCCCAGAACCATGCCCGGCTAACTTTTATATTTTTTTTTTTTTTTTTTTTTGAGACGGAGTTTCGCTCGTTACCCAGGCTGGAGTGCAATGGCGCGATCTCGGCTCACCGCAACCTCCGCCTCCTGGGTTCAGGCAATTCTCCTGCCTCAGCCTCCTGAGCAGCTGGGACTAGAGGCATGCGCCACCATGCCCGGCTAATTTTTTGTATTTTTAGTAGAGACGGGGTTTCACCATGTTGACCAGGATGGTCTTGATCTCTTGACCTCGTGATCTACCCGCCTCGGCCTCCCAAAGTGCTGGGATTACAGGCTTGAGCCACCGCGCCCGGCCTCTTTTATATTTTTAGTAGAGATGGGGTTTCACCATGTTGGCTAGGCTGGTTTCAAACTCCTGACCTCAGGTGATCCACCTACCTCAGCCTCTCAAAGTGCTGGGATTACAGGCATGAGCCACCCTGCCTGGCCTGTAATTACTACATCTACATGTAATTAAATGCAAATAGAACAGATACTTGGTTTGACTATTAATGAATTTGTGGAAAGGAAGGAAGATATTGGTGTTAATTCTTTTTTTCTTTTTTTGAGATGGCGTCTTGCTCTGTTGCCCAGGCTAGAGTGCAGTGGCATGATCTCGGCTCACTGCAACCTCTACCTCCTGAGTTATTTTTATGTATTTTTAGTAGAGACGGGGGTTTTACCATCTTGGCGAGGCTGGTCTTGAACTCCTGACCTTGTGATCCAACCGCCTTGGCCTCCCAAAGTGCTGGGATTACAGGCATGAGCCACCACGCCTAGCTGGCAGTGTTAATTTCTAAGATGTAACTCTATATTAAGTCAACTTGGGTTCTAATCTTGGTGTGACCAATTTACTAGCTATATTATATTAAGCAATACTTTACTTCTGTGTTTTTAGTCTCCTCATCTGTAAAATAGGGGCAATAATAGTACTTACACCTCATAGGATTGTTGTGATGATCAAATGAGATAAAATACATGTAAACCCTAGAAGAGTCCCTGCTACAAGGTAAATACTCAATTAGGATTAACTATGGTTCTTTTTATCATCATCATTTGAAAGAACAGTTGTAAATAAAGAGAGTAAATAAATTATCCTCCTTGTTCCTAAAATAGATTAAAAAAACAAGACATTTTATTATAAACGGGTTCTTTATCAATAAGATGAAGTAATGGAGGCAGGAGACAAGTGACAATAAAAACAGTCTGATAAAAAAAGGACAGCAGGAACTAAAGTCTTAAGCCAAAATTAGCAAAAGCAAAATTCAACCTCAATTTTCATTTTGGAATAGCCCTACAATTCCATAAATCTGGAATTAAAGGTTTCTAGATACCAAAGAGACAATAAAAGAGACAAAACAGCAAAAAACACATAAACAGGTATAGCATTAGAGACTGAGACATGTGGAGCACATGACACAACAGACTGACAGAGAACAGACCAAAAGAACAGAGAAGTGGACCAGAAAGAAAACCAGAATTCATTTTCTGTTTCACAGTAATTTACAACTTCCCAACTGGCCAGTTCTCCCATCCCCCACTCTCCTTCCTTCCAGCTCCATGTAACTTACATTGAAAGATGCCAGGGCCTCAGAGACACTCTTCTCAATGAACTCATCAGTGATTCTTCGGGAAGGATGTTCATTAAACACAGAATTCATTAGTGCAATCTTTGCAGCACTTCTCCGGGCCTCAGCTTTTGTGGGGCAAAACTAGGCAGGGGAGAAAGAGTGAGAATATATTTATTTGTGCATCTGAGAGGGAGGAAGGAACAGTGGGAGGGAAACGCTTGAGACAGAAAACACTAAGATGCTTTTTGGATAAATCAGTTGTGTTCAACATACTTTCCAAGGTTTTTATTGTAAAGTGGTTGGGATGTTTGGAAACATAATTTTGATTCAACATCCTGAAGTCATTAAGGAACTGGAGAGGGCTGTAGCTCATACCAAACTGAATGCAGAACAAGGAAGGCTGCTGAAGTCAGCATATAATCACTGAACGTGAAAAATACCCGTTTGAACTGTCGACATAATTAATTACTCAAAGATAGTAGTGAAAGAAGACAGTCTTTGCCTACATGCAACGTAGTGCACTAGGAGAGACAATATGATATGTTGTAATAAGTGATATGATAGGGAAGTTCAAGGTGTTATGGAGACACATAGCAGGGCTTTTAACCTTGTCTAAGGGTTACACAAACCATATGGAAAACAGAGCAAAGGTGTTTATTATTTTCTCTAAATTCCATTTCAGACCTTTTTTTTTTTTGAGACAGAGTCTTGTTCTGTTGCCCAGGTTAGAGTGCAGTGGCTCACTGCAACTTCCACCTCCTGGGTTCAAGCGATTCTCCTGCCTCAGCCTCCTGAGTAGCTGGGATTGCAGGTGCCTGCCACTGAATCCGGCTAATTTTTTTTTTTTTTTTTTTTTAGTAGAGACAGGGTTTCACCATCTTATCCAGGCTGGTCTCGAACTCCTGACCTTGTGATCCACCCGCCTCAGCCTCCCAAAGTGTTCAGATTACAGGCATGAGCCACCGCACCTGACCCCATTTCAGACTTTTAAATTTGACATTTCTGAAGGCTGCTTCCCTGTCTGCAATGTAAAAAATCGATCTTTGATGAGAATATTCATACTAGTCCATAATTTCTCACTACCTCATAATGGCAACCATTCTTTTTATCATCATAGGTATTTAATATAATTGTAGAATGTTAGTACAGAAAAGACTTTAGAAATAATCTAACCTATCTCCTTCATGTTAGATGGGAAAAGTGAGGCCCACAGATTTGCCCCATTGACATTCAGAAGAATGGGAATTTGGATCTCCTAACTCTTTGATGAGTACTGTTTCCACCACACATAGTGCCTCCGATTTGACCTCTTAGAGAACTCCAACACTGCTTTCTTTAGTAATTGCCTATGAAAAAGCATTGGATGCAAGGAATACTGCTGTTCTATATCCTCAATAAGACATGGAAGAAAGTTGGAATGCAATAATAACTGAAGCCAGATCAGAGCATGGGTTGGATGCTGGTAGTCTGATATGCTGAACAAGGGCATATTCATAACTGCTCAAATTCAAAATGGGTTTGTTTTTGAAAGGAAAGCATGGTACTGAGGTTCCATTATGGTCAAGTGGGCCTCAGACGCTTGTCAGAATAATTTTCCCAGAATTGATTTAGGTCCTTAAATATATGATTTCAGGCAGTTTAATGGCCAAAGTGGTGGAGAAAGCCCTTACTAACATCTAAGCGTTTACCTTTGCTACTGTCACCTCACAAGTCTTACCTGGAAACTCCCAAAGCAACTTCCCCCAGGCAGGGTGACATAGCAGACATAAGGAGGGCTGTTGGAGGGAACCATCTCATAAACCACTAGAGCCCCATTCTTCAAGTCAGCCCCACGGGATTGCTTCATCTGCCAGAATTCCTGAAGTGCCTCCACCACATTCACTACAAAAGAGAAGTAGTTAAGTTCAGCAATGAGAACACCTCCAAGTGGTACTATATTTCAATACAGTACCTGTAATCTGTACCTACATTAAGAGCCTGCCTCTTAGCTCCCTACCTATCATCATTTAAAAGCATTTAAATTAATAACCTAGGCTGTGATTAAGTTAATTTGCCTAGGAAGACCAGAGTATGCCTACCCTCCTTCACCACTTTTCTACTTCACATTTTATTTAAATATTTTTTCAATCCCACCTCCAATCTGAATAGTTCACATTTTAACTAAGTCCTAGAATAACCTAAATTTTGGAGGCAGAGTTCCCAATGTCAGCAGACCATTTATCACTGCCTGATGAAATACAAGTAGATTATTCCACAGTTGGTTAGCTGGCCCAGGATAATAACCACCACCACCACAATAAGTGCTAACATGTATTGAAAACTTATTGTATATCAGTCATTTCTGTGACTGCTTTACATGTTTAATCACAGCAACTTTATGAAGCAGAAATTTTTACTATCCCTATTTTTTTTCTTTTTTTTTGAGATGGAGTCTTGCTCTATCACCCAAGCTGGAGTGCAGTAGTGCAATCTCAGCTCATTGCAACCTCTGCCTCCCGGGTTCAAGCAATTCTCCTGCCTCAGCCTCCTGAGTAGCTGGGATTACAGGCGTGCACCACCACGGCCGGCTAATTTTTGCATTTTTAGTACAGATGGGGTTTCACCATATTGGCCAGGCTGGTCTTGAACTCCTGACCTCGTGCTCTACCCACTTTGGCTTCCTAAAGTGCTGGGATCACAGGCGTGAACCACCGCACCCAGCCTACTATCCCTATTTTACAGATGAGGGAAATGAGGTATAGAGAGGTTAAATAACTTGCCCAAGGTTATACCAGCTAGAAAGTAGCAGTCTGAGTATTCAAACTCGAACAGTCTTGGTTCCAGTGAGTATTCTTTTATGCAATACTGCTGGCTTAAGGAAATATAGCCCTTATAACCATTCTCAAGCCTGTGCTTCTAGTGAGCACATCATTGCCAGATTCCTTTTTCAACCTACAATACTATGTATATACTATGAGTAACAGAAGCCAGGGCATGGGGGTTAGAGAGAAAATTTCTCTTTTGAGGCTTTACCTGGGTATAAATGATTTTTGGAGGAACTATATGCTGGGATGGGAAGTAATGCAATGGGAAGCAGTTGGAGGACTTTAAAAAGAAGCAGGCCTCCATGGGTTTCTCATGCTCCTTCACATCTTGCTAGGTACACCAAGATTGCAAAACCCTGACTGCTCTTTACTTGGGCTATTTTTCAGGACTCTGCTTATAGCAAGAAATCTTGAGAGATGAGGTACTGTCTTCACTCAGATAAAGAACAAGCTTGCTTCAGCTTGTTCTAAAACGGCAAGTTCCACAAGCTGCATGTTCTATAAGTGTTCCTCTGTTGTGAAGCAACCCATGGCCTATGCAAGTATCTACCTTAGCCCTCTGCGTTGGACTTGGGAGGAGGCAAGGAGAACTAATAAAGACATGATGCTCATGCTACTTGCTGTGCTATGAATAATAAAGTCCTTTGTCTCTGATCTTGAAGTCTCTTGACTTCTGCCAGCATCCATGAAACAATAAGTGGCTAATTTATTAGTTGTAAGTAGGCTAAAATCAAACTCCAGACTGGACACTGTATTCTAGAATGCTTCCTCTCATCCCCTACGTTTTCCTTATGTAGCCAACAGTGTATAAAGAGGGAAAGAGATATTAACCAAATCTCAAACAAATGTAAAACTGCAGCTGTGATCAAGTTCTATAAAGGAGTGATGGATGTCAGAGTATCTGACCTAGTTAAGAAGGTCAAAGAAAGCTACCCTGAGGAGGCAATATCTAAGTTCAGGTATGACTAGGAATTCACTAGGCAAGAGATGAGAGGACAGTATTCTGAGCATTAGGAGCAGCGTGTACAAAGGCTCGTGACAGCAGGGAACATGATGAATAAAGGGACTTGATCACTGTGGCTATGAAAGAGTGAGTGAGGGGAAGGGTAATGTAAGATGAGGTTGCAAGAAGAGGCAGGGACCAGACCAAGTAAGGCCTTTTAGGCCATGTTACAATCGAGTATTAGCTTTATCCTAGAGTAATAGGAAGCAATTGGAAGACTTTAAAAAGAAGGAGGGATTCTTCTGAACTCAGCTCCGAGGAAAAATAACTTTTATTTTATTTTATTTTATTTTTAAAGACGGAGTTTCACCATGTTGGTCAGGCTGGTCTTGAACTCCTGACCTCAGGTGATCTGTCCACCTTGGCCTCCAAAGTGTTTGGATTACAGGCGTGAGCCACCACGCCCGGCTGAAAAATAACTTTTAAAAAAGAGATGGGGCATGGTGGCTCACATCTATAATCCCAGCACTTTGGGAGGCCGAGGTGGGCAGATCACCTGAGATCAGGAGTTCAAGACCACCTGGGCCAACATGGAAAAACCCCATTTCTACTAAAAATACAAAAATTAGCTGGGTGTGATGGCACGTTCCTGTAATCCCAGCTACTCAAGAGGCTGAGACAGGAGAATCACTTGAACCCAGGAGGCAGAGGTTACAGTGAGTCAAGATTGCACTACTCCAGCCTGGGCGACAGAGCAAGACTCTGTCTCAAAAAAAAAAAAAAAAGGAGGGATGAGATCAGTTTACTTTTAGAAAGGATCACATTGACTCTAGGATTCCAAACATTTCAAATAGTTTTAGCTAAAGCCTCATAATAATAAATTATCATTATCACACGTGCTCTCCAATATCTTACAAGAAACTGACCACTCTCCCTTTTCAGTTTTTTTTTTTGAGACAGAGTCTCGCTCTGTCACTCAGGCTGGAGTGCAGTGGCACGATCTCAGCTCACTGCAACCTCTGCCTCCTGGGTTCAAGGGATTCTCCTGCCTGAGCCTCCCAAGTAGCTGGGACTACAGGCATGTGCCACCATGTTCAGCTAATTTTATTTTTGTATTTTTAGTAGAGATGGAGTTTCACAGTGTTAGCCAGGATGGTCTTGATTTCCTGACCTCTTGATCCATTCATCTCAGCCTCCCAAAGTGCTGGGATTACTTTGGGAGCCACTGAGTCTGGCCTTTTTTTTTTTTTTTTTTTTTTTTTGAAAAAAAAAAAACTCTCTATTGCCCAGGCTGGAGTGCAGTGGAGTGATCTCAGCTCACTGCAACCTCCACATCCCAGGCCCAAGCATCCTCCAACCTTAGTCTCTGACTAGCTGGGACCACAGGCACATGCCATCATGCCCGGCTAATTTTTGTATTTTTTGTAGAGACAGGGTTTCACTATGTTGCCCAGTCTGGTCTCAAACTTTTGAGTTCAAGCGGCCTCCCAATAGTGTGAGCCATCATGCCCGGCCTCTCTTCTCCTACTCTTAATCGCAACAAAGCCTCATCCATTCTTTCATATTTCCTTAATTCAGATCTGCCAGGAAGACACCAAGATGGGATAGGCAACTGCAAGAGATTTTTTGGGGAGGAAGTAGGAGACGACAGGGAGAGCCTTCCAAGCCCAGCAAAGCTCTGACAACTGTGGAAGAGAGGGAAAGAATGAGGTCTAGATATGACAGTCTCAGACTACAGCACAGTTTTGAAAAGGATTTGGCTAAGCCAGTGAGAAGTCCTCGTGCCAAAGGAATCCCACATCTCACCAGCATCTGCCTGTGTTAATACCCGGGATGTGCTCAGTCATTGGCTGGGAGAACATACAGGAAGCGGAAGCACAGTTCCTGCAAATGTGCCTATGGATGCAAATGTGCAACTCTGTGGTGCAAATATGGTTATGGATGGCCCAGAGTGGGCAGTAGCTGAGGCTGTTACTTATGTTCCCTGCAGTAGGCGATCTGAAATGCACATTTTCATGGCTGTCATATACACATGCAAAAATTTGAGCACTGAATAGGTACATGCCATTATTCTAAGCATTGGGCAGGCAAAGAATAACACACAGTTCCCGCAAGCAAGGAATTTATTTTGTTTATTTTAGAGATGGAGTTTTGCTCTGTTGCCAAGGCTGGAGTGCAATGGCACAATCTCAGCTCGCTGCAACCTCCACCCCCTGGGTTCAAGCAGTTCTCCTGCCTCAGCCTCCCGAGTAGCTGGGATTACAGGCATACACTGCCACACCCAGCTAATTTTCATATTTTTAGTAGAGACAGGGTTTCACCATATTGGTCAGGCTGGTCACGAACTCCTGACCTTAGGTGATCCACCTGCCTCGGCCTCCCAAAGTGCTGGGATTACAGGCATGAGCGACCGCACCCAGCAAGGAAAGAATTTAAAATCAGTGGCCAATAATAAATGATGCCTGCTCTGTGACTAAACAAACGCTCATGTACTAGCCTGAGTCTGAGAAGCAGGATAAACTCTTTTTAATAACATATATTTAACTGACTTCTAAGAATGCTCATTCTTCTATTAAAAGACAGCATGAGAACACATGTCATCAAGACCTCCTGAGACTCTGTCATGGGCAAAAAAAATTTTTAATTTAAATTTAAAAACTAAAAAAAAGATCCAGCATGAAAGGGAAACTCTCTTTCCCACCCTTGGTTTTGGCAGGGCTCTTCAAAGGTCAATACTGACCAGAAAGCTCTGCCATCTTTGTTCTTTCCTTGAGATCTTTTCAGCTCCAGTTCCCTCTTTGAGACAGTTTAGCACAATGCACTGGGTGACAGCTCTCCTGACATGCAAACAACAGGGAGAATACTGGAATAAAGAGGAAGAGGAGGAGACCACCATAATTGGGAAGGTCCTATTTAAAAAAGGATGTTTTCAGTCTCTATCCAGTTAAACACTTCTTGGCACAGACTAGAGAACCATTTTTTAATGATTACTAAAAGCCAAGGGATGTGGGGAGTCTTATTTTACAAATGTGAATAGGAAATGATAATTGGGCAAAGTGGTCAAGAAAAAAGCAGTTGTGATTTGCATTTGAAAATGCTTCTAGACTCATTCATTTTTAGAGCTGGAAGGAACT